AAACAGTAAAGATCGTGCCATGCAAGAGGTGAAAGGTGAAAACGTCTTGAAATGACGCTTGAACTTTCACACACAGCGATCAAAAATTAATACCGAATTAACGGAAGAATAAATTTCGTTTTTATGTCTGATGGATGTTTAAAACTTTAAAATTTAAAAAATGGCGGCCATTTATCACTTCCGTTTTATAACGTTGGCATTACGCCATCTTCTCTCATACGGATTCATCATGCAAACATATTCTATGAGCGTATGAATAAATATCTACAACATAAATACAAGTAAACATGTCTAATTATTTGTGTGTTTGTGTTGGTTGGAAATTACCGCATGACAAAGGCTTCGAAAACAATTGCCGCGCACGCCCGACAAATGCTACCGCTATTAGTCTATTAGTGTCGTAACATGCAAAATTTCAAAGCCGCTCGACTCCACAAGTTCAATTATATAAATAACACGCAAGTGTAATCGCCGATAAAAAGGCCTTACAAAGCAAACAAGTGTTATGCTGGATGCCTGACTGTTCACACAACAATGGCGCAACAAATGACTAACTGCTTTATTATGGTGGCGGCGCCGGATTTAACGAGCTACTTAAGTAATCACGGCTAATCGACAATTTGTTAGCATGCTAATTGAATTATTTTCTGATTAAGCCATCTGAAAATCAGCGTGAAATATGTTTGTTCTCGTGTTTGTGAGGTTAAGTTCAATGACAGCAAGTTTGGTGAACTATTTTAAGAATTTAGGAATATCGTGCCGGCGAATTTTTAATCGTATTCAGCACGAAATATTTTCACGTTCACGGTGAAAGTGGGGTTAAAATATTTACTTTCACTTTAAACTTTGGGTTTTTAACAGGTTTTGTTCTCTTTGTTGCAGGATATTAGGATATTTTCAAGACTTGCAAACGGGACAATTTGCCAGGACGTAATTTAAGGTAATGTGGACGTTTTTATTAATTTTATAGAGAATTATTTATTTAGAGACACTTTATAACGTTTTTACTAAGGAATTTTGTTTGGTTTTGTTAAAAATAACCTCAAATAACACTTATTTTGAATCAGCTGTCAAACGTCAAATGTCAAACGATCTTAACCTAACCTAAAAAAGGTTTTTTTATTATTACTTTATTTTCAGTTGTTTTTCTGGTATTTTTAGTAAATATTCTGCCAAATTCCACAGAAAACATATTTAACTAAATTAAAATTTACAAAAATCGTTTTTTCACTTTAACGCCTGGCAGTCCTTTAAAGCCTAGGCTTTACTTTTACTTTAATTTCGTGAGAGACATTTTGACTTTAAATAACTTAATCTTCAAATGGTCAATTTTTACCCTTTTTATCCCCAATGTTGATATTTTTATTACCGTCACATGAACACAAAAATCAGTGTCGAAATCGCGCTGTGAGTGTGTGTGACGCGTGGAGTGCGAAATCGAGAAAAGCAATCTGTGAATTTTTTTGCCGATGCAAGCACAGGCGGAATCTGGGAATCGGGTATCGAGATCGGGATGTGCTTCCATTAATCTAATTCCCAGCGCCCGGACGGATATCTGGATTTCTGGTTGTGCGGTGCGGGCGCCGCGAGCGGAAGAGTCCTGCCGGCAATTGGCAAGCGCGTCGCCGCCGCCACTGCCGCGCCGCCGCCGAGGCAAAACAAACAAATTATATTTATTCGATCCTTCGCTGTGAATTTCAATCTCGGCGCGTATTAATCAATTAAATCACTTTGCCTAGATTGCATTACATTACATTACATTTCATTACATGACAAAAATCACTCAGTTCGTAATTTAATCCTGATTAAGAGTGGCGTGTTCGACCTATAAATGTCAATTGGTACTTAATTACAGATAACTGTAATTATAATCCAGCGCCATCTATGTTAAACTAGCTTTTAAGTTTTTTTGAAGAAAATTTTTTTCAAGTTTGACAGATTGGAGTTTTTAATGTTTCCGGTTCTAATGGTCTTAAAAGTAAATATTCGTGTCGTTCACATTTCGAGGGTAGCGGTTATTCAGCATAAAACTCGCGAAAAATAAAAATGATTGATGTGTTCGCTCGGCTAGGCCTCAAATTCGCCAAGAGAAAAAAATTCAGGCGCCGAACGGGCCGAAAAAGACACACATAGTTTATTTCGCATAGTTCGAAGGGTGCATGTAAAGTTAAACACTTTTTTCTGGTTTCCATTTTCTTCGCACGCATGTCTCCCTCGCGCGAGAGTGTGATGTAAGTTTCACATTGTCGCAAGACATTGATAAATGTCTCGCAAATTGGTCACAATACACGTCACGATGTCGCACAGATTTTAAACATGCATTCGAGCGGAAAATCGCAAACTTGTTTATATTTTTATTATATTACAAGATTTTTCTTGGTAAAATTTTTAGTAAAAATGGAAATAATTTTTAATTTTTTTGTTTAAGACCAAAATTTTAGTTTAAAAAAAACAAGAATTGCTTATGATGCACTTTAGCGCCATCTAGAATTCAATTAATTAGGCATAATTATGATTGAATCGCTATACTAATTTTCATTCCTCAATTAACACCCTTTAAACTTATAATTTTTGATATTTTAATGGTTATTCATCTATTTGAGGCAAAGACAAATCCAAAAAATCATAGACCATCAAAATCCGTCCAGCCGTTTTTGAGTTATACGTGTTGTAACTAACAAAATATTATTTTTTATATATGAATTAAAATTAATAGCAAATCTTTTGCATTTTTGCATTTTATTTTCGGATGCCTTACGAGTTTGAAGCCGAGACGTATCGTAGCGTTTATAATTTACGGCCGTTATGCTCTATAATTAAGTAGTTAAACCTAATTATCCCCGAGGGTGGCGGAACTCGACGGCTAACACGTGGCGCACGAAAGATTAATAAAATATGTATAACAAATGCGAAGCGACACTTGAGAAAAACAAACTTTGCACACTTAATTCTTCTAGGTTAGGTGAAGACCCAAACCAAGGTTAGGATAAGTATTGATGTTAACGCTGAAATGCGGTCGGTTTTCGCTCGGTAAATGTTAATATTTCCACTCGGATTCCCGAAAACGTTCGTTTTCGCTTTTCTTCGCGCGCTCACGAACACTTAACGATATGCATGAATTCATTTTCACCATTCGCAAGCCACTGCTTTTTCGTATATAGGTGAGAATACGCACGCATAGCAGTGCGAAGCGGAGCGGAGGAAAGAAAAGAAAGTAGGTGAATGTGAATGCGAGCCGGCCGGTTTGTTGCTGCGGCCGGCGGCCGCATTGACCGATTTTTCTTATCAGCCGGGGTATCTGAATCGGATCTCCTAAAAATACTCGCCGCCTCCGCCTCTGAGTCGCTCGCGCGCGCTAATGGCGCAAGTCGGCGTCTGGCTTTCGGAATAATCGATGCGTTTAAAAAGGGCCGCTGCGTGCGGGGTGCACGCAAGCTGAATGTCTTTCACCTTTTGTGTAATAATATTAATTAGCTTCACGTTCAGGTTTAAAATTTGAAAATTAGGCAACCCACACTACGATTTTCAATATTATAAACTAAAACGGAATTATTTTTCCAAAAATTATTATTTTCAAAGTAATCTCTTGAATTTTATGATGAAAATAGTTGTAAATTTTAAAAAACAAAATGAGAAAATTGCGCCCAACGTGGGGCTCGAACCCACGACCCTGAGATTAAGAGTCTCATGCTCTACCGACTGAGCTAGCCGGGCCGATGACAGTTAGGCTCCTAGTTATCTGGTTCCGTTTAGGATTCTGCAATAATCAAACGTAAGAAAAATTTATCATAACAAATTATAACAATTTTTTAATAAATAATTTCTTTTCACATCTAAATATCAATTTAAGTTACAAGAAAAGTCCCCAGTTCTTAAGTTAGTCATAAATAATTGAATTTGTAAATAACTTTCAAAACATAACCAAAAAAACCTCATAAAATTAATACCTTAACCTTAAAACTTTGACAACACAAACACACTTTCCAGATATGAGCTTTTAATTTAATTAAAAATTTCAACCCTCGCGACTTCCCCGAAAGCATTGAATGTTGAATGTTACTTTGATCGCTTCGGGTCTCAGCCACTTACAAAACCACCTCCTCCTCCATCTCTCCACCACTCAAACACCAAGAAGGGCATGTGTCACGCGCGTTTGAATATGTGACTCGCGAAGTGAATAATAAGCGAGGCGTCAACTCCCTTCGAATGCCCTTCGCGCGATAATGTCTTCCGGCTCCGAACTTTCCCACTTTTCACTTTATTATAACTTGCGTCGAACTTCAATTTTCCTGTTAAAACTTTTTCGTGCCCAACTTCACACTCACCCGTCTGTAAATGCCACACCCCTAAATATTTACACTGGGAGCTACCCAAAGTGGTGTGTATGTTGGGTTGCATACAATTAAACCACTGTGGTTGCATTATGCAAACCCGTCCAGGCGGGTGTTTCACGCGCAGACATGGGTTTTAAAGGATGATTGCATCCAGGCCACGTGTGTGGATTATGTGGTTTATTGAGGCTCGAGTTGCGGGGGCGGGCGTCTCGTGTCCTACATCGGACTAACTTTCCTTCGCTGGTGCGAAATCTGTGAAAGGTTAGTTTTGGACAAAGTGGACACAGACCCTAATTACCTTTACTATCCCTTCAAATTACATAATAATACTAATTAATTTTACATAAAAAAAACAAAAAAATGAAAAAAACGCAATTTTATGTAAATTTCTAACCTAAAAACATAAATTATACAAAATATAAAACATAAGTTGAATGAAATAGATATATCTGCGTACATTTTGCATGGTTTTATAGAAAAGTATCTCGAGGGCGGTAACCGCCTCCAATACACCAAAACAAACTCGTAGATATTTGTTGCGCGGTGTATGTGTGGTTGTGTGCGCCGGATCGAAGCCGACTCGGAGTGAGTCGTGTGTATCCGTGCGCGGTCGCCCCGGCCGCCGCCGGAGAAAGCGACCGATGGGCGCACGCTTGTAGGCTGGCACGCACGACGGGCGGCACAACACGCTTTCGTTTCGAAAAGTCGGCGAAAAATAAGGATAACGCTATAATCACGCGGTTTAACTACAAGTGGGTGCGGATAGTGGAGTGTAACAGCTGAATCGACGATAGCATCAATTCCCGACCGGAAAACACTGAAAAAAAAAATCGTATTAACATTACGATTCTGTGCGCGGACACAATCTGCTTGTGAGAACAAAGAGACAAAGCGTGTTTAAATAAAAATAATCATAATAATAATAATGTTGCATAAATGATTTTCAATCATTGTGTTGATTGTGTGTTTGCAAATGTGAAACTAGTAAACTATATCGTCTACATTGTGTGACATATTAGTAATATAGTGTATCGTGCAGGGGAAAATCAATGAAAAAACGAGAGAATGAGCCAAATGACGAAGCAATAAACTCATATCAGTTCGTTAAATATGCATAAGCGTCGCGGTGCACACACGCTCATCGCCGCCGCCGATGTTGAAGCCGTTGCCGCCGCCGCCGCACTATGATAACGCTGACAGTGGTAATAATGGAACGTTGACCTTTTTTTGTCATCGATAGTGTTTGTCCTGTCTGTGCCGGCTGCAAAACATTCAATATTACAAAGGAAACACTAAACTACAACAAAGACAACTCAATAATATTGATGCAACAATGATCGTGTTTGGATAATTAAAAGTTTATAGATTTTTGTGCGATTATATTTAAAGGGTAGTAGTAGTAGTGGGATAATTTAAAGTTGACGAAAACAAAGGAAAAGAAAGGAATATGAGTGAATACAGTGACGATCAGGATCAAGGATGTACGGCAAGTTGGCCCGATTCCGAACACCAGGTAAAATATATTGATAATAATAATAATAATAATAGTAATGATGGAATATGATAATGGTATGGATAAAACCTAAGCTTTCAATGGTTGTGTGTTCCTATGTAGGCAACATAGAATACATGAGTCATGAAAATTTTTAACGCTCGGTTAATTTTATGGAAAAATCGATTCTGGAAATTTCTCAATTCATGAATTTCCTAATTGGGCACATTGAATAAACGTATTTTATGGGTTTTTCTCTTAGAAGTCTTTGAAATGAAAATATTGAATAGGCATGATGACTGATGAATGAAATAATTTCCTGGAATACCCGGAAATATATTTTATTTATGAGTAATATCACATTTTGAAGAACCGGTTGGTTGATTTATTAAGAAAATGCAATTGAACTGTTCCTGGAAACTTTTCTCTCTGCCTTTGATTAACTATAACTTAACCGATTAAGTCTGATTGCGGCGGATCAGAGGAGTGATGTCGGTGTTGAGTTGTTTAATATAAAAATTAATGCGTGATCTGCATTTCGTCGTTCAATGTTGATTTTCAATTACAAACATTATGCGTATTGTATAAGCGTCAGCAAAATGGCAGAAAATGTATGTTATAGTAGTCGTCGACGTCGTCAAAATAAAAGGATAATTGTTCTCACCCAAATAAAACCGAAGAAAAGAAAAGTTTTTATTGGTGCTTTGTCTGATGTTTTACTCGTACAATGATGAGTAACATTTACAAAAAAAGTTGTTATCTATTTGGTGTATTTACATCCCCTGAGACATTTTCATAAATTCATAAATTCTGAGTTTATAATTTATTTCTATTTTAAAAACTTAGTGCCTTAGTAGCAATTTAAACTGTGTTAGACATCAAAACCAATTTTTCTCTGTATATATATTTTTGGTGATGTTTTATTTATTAGTTTTTGAATAAAATGCAAAAGTCTGTTTTTGGTTAAAGTGAAATATTTAAGAATATACAAAATGCATAGCATTGGCATACGTACTGTATTAAAGGGAAAGTAATTCCTCATGCAGGATTAAAAAAAATGGCTTTTTAAGTGGGGCTGTTGTATTCTAAAGCTTTTTCTTAACTTAATAAAAACCAAATTCTAAGGTTCTGTTTTCTTGCTTAAATACGCGATTATAGATGATAAACTTCTTTCTTCGACGATAGATGTCATGATAATAAATATTTGCACTTTTTTCTTTGTCATAACCAAATTTCAATTAACTTTTAACTTTTAATATCTTTTTTCTACGCTTTATTCAACCCTTTTAAATCAATACTGAAAGCTTAAAATTTAATGAAAATTAAGCTCAAAAACCAAACTTGTTTTTTCTAAATTTAATTAAAATATAAATTAATTTCCTCAACTGCATTTACATATTCGGAAAAGTGTCGCTTTGTTTTTAAATTAATATTTTAATTAAAAACTGAGCAATCCATCTTGTGGCAAACAAAGCATTTTAATAACAAAATTTAAAACACAGTTAGTTTTTGGATTTCCAACTTACGATTTCCACGTTTAATTTATTTTTTCCTCCCAATCTCCCATGCATGCTTTGAACAGGCTGACATGACATGATGCGTGCGTATTCAACAGATTCAACATGTTTGCATGTATATCGTCAGCTGTCAATCAAGCTTTGCACTTGCAGCTACGTATAATCTACAAAAACAAAATGTATCAATACGATTTAGTTCATTTTAGCAATGTTTAATCTAAATATAAACGCATTCACAAAAAACACACAATTTCCTTTGTTTTCAGCGCCATCTGGTGTAAAATAGTTTCAACTAGATTATACTTTTGACATCCGACACTTTTATAAGTTTTTTTTTTTCATAATAACTTCCACTTAATGATGTTAATTATGAGTGCAAATATGCAAATTGTTTACAATCTTACAATTAATCGCCGTCCGCGTGCGAGTCGTTTGTGTATTATTTATATTGTGCTTGCCCTGGATGATATTTCGCGATAGCACGTCGTGCTCGTTTGACATTTCGCTCAGAGAGACTGACCGCGACCTTTACCTCATTTTTCTCGCTGGTTCTCTAGCCCAAACATTTCGGGCACATCTGCATCCTGCATAACTTCCATCGCAAATAATTCAATTTATATAATGTTAACACATAAATTTCCAGCTTAAAAAAAAAGTAAAATATTATTTATCGATGTTTGATGTTCGTTGTATTAGCACAAGTGGATATAAAGTGTAGTACAGTACTTTTGGCCTTTTCGGCTTTAATTAATTGGCACGCGCGGTGGAATCGACGCGCTCGAGCGGAAATGGCAATTCGGCCGGCAGCGCGGAAAACGCGCAGGCACCGCTGTGATAACTCATTATTTCTGATTATGTTCGGCCATCACAATCGATAGACGAGCACGGTATTAAATTCGTGCGGGTATTAAATTGCTTCAAATTGCATCGAAACGATGTATGCACTACTAAAATGACTACAAACGCCATCTAGCGTTAAAATCTCTAATTTTATAGCAATTTGTATCTCTTGTTGACTTTAATTAACTAATAACCATTTTGCAGTGGAAGGTCGCCTTGGGAATTTTGTAGAAAATCAAATCGCGATATTAAATTGCGATATTATTCATAATGCGCGGAACAAAAACGAAATACGAAATTTCCAAGCGGGCGAAATGCTAATGGCGGGGTGATTTGTATTTGCTGGCTGGTTTTTTGCAGCGACCGACACGAATCGTGGGAATCGTATACACGATACACACGCTCTACATAATTTTCGAATTCGTTTCGTCTCGCTGCGCGTGTATTTTTGCAATTTTCGAAGCCAAAACGCATAAAACCAACGAGTTATATTAATGACAATCATTCGTGGTCAAAAAGTTGCATAACACAAACAAAATTATTTACTTAACCTCAAATTATAACTTTTTCAACAGAATTTTTGCTTGAAATTGAGTCTTTGATGTTCTACTCGTAATACAACTTGACGTATCACTTTCCCTTCGCATTTTAATGATTGATTAATGCCATTATTCAGTATTCGTTAGCCGTGGCGACCGGGAAAAAAAAAAAACCCGTGGTGCCTTCAATATTAAACCAGTGAGGCACGCATCGTGATCGAAGCTTTTCACCATTTTCTCCTTTCTTATCCTGGCCGACTGACGAGAGCACAGCTTGTAGCGTAACGCGCGCACTCGACCCCTGACCTTTTCGTTGTCGGAGTCGACGCGAGGGTTTGAGCTCCTCGGTCATAGCCATCCGGCTATAAACCCATCGGCGTGTGGATTCTATCGCTCGAGTTGAAGGTTTTCGCACAAAAGGAGGCGAACGCCGCAATCCTCCAGCTCCCCAGATGGAATCGTTTCCTCTTCGCGTACTCTACTCCTATTTTTTTCGTCGTTGTGTGTCACTCGCGAATGAATCTATTGCGAAAACAATATGTTCATTCAACTGTTGAGTAATTTTTTTCTTATTTGAGTAAACTATTACGGTTTTAATTATTTTAATTACGTTTTACGTTTTGTACACAACTAAAACCAACACACGTATATAAACGATGTGCACCTTATGTTCTCGTCGTCCTCCAAGGACTTCGGCGTAACTCGAACCTCATAGCTTCGTGTACCGAAGCGTTAAATTCGAAGCAATTTACTTAATTAACTCTATTTTTATGTGCGCGCCGCAAACCACTCTTGTCGCTGACGTCATTGATGACGTCACTGCGAAAACACATTTGAGGTTATGTGGTAGCATTTAAATGTGCGCGTTTTTTTTTCTGAGTTGGGTTTGAAGTGTTTTGCAAGACAATGGCGGATGGGATGAATAGGAAAGCGCACTCGACTGCTAAGCGCCGGAATAAGCGGACAGCAACAACGCGCGACGACTATGACTGCGACGGCGACGCTAATAACAAAAAGCGCGCGATGTGCGCTTTTCATTTGTTTCCGGGATGTATCCGCCCGCGGCGCAACGGCAGCGCACAAAGTGGTTAAACGTATAAAACGAAGGCTTAATGCGACAGGCGATGGACAGCCGCGGGTATTATTTACCATCCGCACAAAAGTAAATCTTTAAATCATCATTTTTCATAAAATTTAGAAATATTAAGTGACAGTAATTGTGCATTGCTTGTCTATTTTGAGGATATTTTAAGATTAAACTAGAGATTTTTGACATTTATTTATATGAATCAATGTTGTGTTAGTTAAAACATTAATAACTCGAGAATGACTGAACAGATTTTGATCATCTTTGGTTTTTTGAATTCGTCTCTACCAAGAATAGCAGAATATTTATTAAAATATAAAAAATTATGACTTAAAAGTTGTTAAATTAGGGATCAAAATTGGTATGGTGATTTAAACATAGTTATAGTTAAATAATTGAATCAGAGATGGCGTTAAAGTGCATTATTAGCATTTCTAATTTCTTTAAAATAAAATAAAATCTTCGTAGAAAACGAGGGCAAAAACTAGTTTTTATTATTAGTTGTTAAAAAATTGCGTTTTAAGCACAAAAATAATAAAAGCACCATTTTTGACGTTAAAATTGGGTAATAAATTAGTTTAATATCTTTTTTTCTGTTTTGTGCAAGTTGTTAAACTTAATTAACTCCGTTTTGTTTGCAATTAAGCAAATGCCGTGCACGTTATGCCAATCGTACCTTACGATCGACATGCACATTACATTTTCCTATTTTGCACTTCTATTATCCTGTCAAACACAACTTTTACCTGTAAAACTCGCATAAATATTTATAATAAAGCTTTTATTTAAAACAAGTTTAGGCCGTGACCTCATCCCCGTTAATTTAGTAAAAACGTAATTAATTTTTGCTTTGTTGCCCAAGTAAACAAAAAAAAACAAAAAACGAAAAAGATTATAATGCACTTAAGCGCCATCTCTGATTCAATTATTTAGTTATAAATATGATTGAATCCCTATACTAATTGTCATCCCTTATTTAACACACATTAATGTATAATTTTTAATATTTTAATAATTATTTTGCTAATTGGGGTGAAGACGTATCCAAAAAATCTTTGATCATCAAAATCAGTTCACTCTTTCTTGAGTTATAAATGCTGTAACTAACACGAATTTAAATCTTTACATATCCGCATTGCGATAGTAAATGTAAATTCAGATCGCAATCAATCGTGATCCTTTTGTCAATTCTCCGCAAACTTTCGTCCGTACATAATTCTTTCTTCGTAGTATTTTTTTAGTTCGGTGCCAGCAGTTTGTTAGAATTTATGAAGGCGCACTCCGCGGCGAAATCGGCAAACGGACTTGGCACCCGTTTGGCAGGTGACCACCCCGCATAAATGATGTTTTTGTTTTCGCCTAAAAACCCTCCGCGCAATGAGTTATACGATGCGAAAGAAAAACCCAAAGAGGCGCCGAATAATAACGACGCGAAATACTGCTTCAGGGTTGGCCCTCTGCCATCCAAGCGAGAAAAAGAAAAAAAACAAACATGTCGTTATAATCCACTCCACATTCTACAACTCCACACACACATATATACCCCGACTGCAGTCAAGTCACAGGAATCAAAAGAAAGAAATTAATCTTGAGTCTCTCTTGGAGGTTAAACGCGAGTAATTAATGTTAGCACAGTTTGTTTGATGCATCAAGCACCACCAACTTGGTTTGTTTTACATATTTTAACATGTGAGCCTTAGTTTTTAACTGATTGCGTGTTGGGTGATTTAGCGATGTACAAGATGGCGGCGTGTCAGCGTTGAGACATGTGCATGCATAGCACACATTAGATAACCAACTTTTTTCTTTTCTAATTTTGCTTAAAACGAATTTCTTTTAAGTAATTTACATAGAAGTAAAATATAAAAATAGCTGGGTGCTAATATTTCACGCGGATGAAATTTGAGAAGTGTGTAAACAGGACAGGATGGCAATGTTGCTGTACATGAATTACTAATCGCGCGTTGAATAATGAATGCGTGTGTGCGACATTGTGCTGCGCCTTCACGAATGGAGACGTTCCGTTCGATGATATGGATTTTCGTGTGCGTTCGACGCGCAGCGCGCACGTCGGCAACATGATAGAAAATTAATTACCTTTGCGTTTTATCGATCGCTGGACTTTCCTAGGAAGTCGAGAAAACGTATCGAGACGAGAAAATTGGAAACGGTGAATATTGTATATGCGTAATACCTTATGCAACCAAGTATACACACAACTGTCAAATAACAGTTTTTTCGTGTGTGTTTAGGTTATGATACAAACACATGTTTGAATTAATAGTGTAGTTAATTGTGTTGAGTGTGTTTGAAACATCAGAGGTTGCAACTTGGAGCATCCGGCACATCCGGAATGTTCCTGCTCTCCACGCGTCTGTTGTGTCTCTCGTGCGAGGGAGATTGCCTATCGCTCCCTACCTCCTGTCGTGATGCGACACGATAGTGCTACCCATGCGATGTCATTTCGTGCCTATGGCTAATGTTGCTTTGTTAGTCGAGTTAGCGTGCGTTGAGATACTTGATAAGGATGAGAGAGTGCCACTTGCTGGAACACTTGAGTAAAACCAGATGTTGACGTGATGATTCCGTACTGTTGCAGATCAGGATGACACAAAGAAGTGGCGGCGAAGGTAGCGGCGGATGAGGGCTTGGGAGACCTACCGGCACGGCTAGCAGCGACGCGCACGCGCACCACCCGCAGCAGCATCAGCAGATGGTGGGCGATCGCGACGGCGATGGACTGGCCGTGCGGTGGGACGACTCAGCGGCGGGCGGCGGGGGCGGCGAGGGGGGAATGTACCCGACCTCCTCGCCGCCACCGCCGCCCGCGCTTCCGCTGCCGATGCAGCGTCCGTACTCGCGTTCGATGTCCTCGCTGCCACCGGAGCCGTTCATGATCATGCGCTCCAAGGCCGTCAATCGGCGCGTGTGCATTAACGTCGGCGGCGTGCGCCACGAGGTCCTCTGGCGCACGCTCGACCGTCTTCCGCATACCCGTCTCGGGCGCCTGCGCGACTGCAACACGCACGAGACGCTCAGCGAGTTGTGCGACGACTACTCGCTCATCGACAACGAGTACTTCTTCGACCGCCACCCGAAATCGTTCAGCTCCATCCTGAACTTCTACCGCACCGGAAAACTCCATTTAGTCGACGAGATGTGCGTGCTGGCGTTCTCCGATGACCTTGAGTATTGGGGTGTTGATGAGCTGTACCTCGAATCATGCTGCCAGCACAAGTATCACCAGCGTAAGGAACACGTACACGAGGAAATGCGAAAGGAAGCCGAATCTCTCCGACAACGCGACGAAGAGGAATTCGGCGAGGATAAATGCTCGCAGTACCAAAAATGGCTGTGGGACACACTGGAAAAACCCACAACGTCCATCACGGCGCGGGTGAGTACCCCGCCACAGGCCAGACTTATCTATACCTATACTATACCTTTGTTATAATACATTTGTGTTCAAGTCGATAGCGATATAGAAATTCTTTAAGCCTAGGAGTAGTAGTAAGTAACTGAAACGAGAAAAAAGATACAGAAACATAATAGAGCACGATTAAAATTTTCCGACCCGAATCATCATTTGAAACGAGCTAGCTTTGCATGACATGGAATACCAAATCAGAACAAAAGCTATATATATATACACAAATACCAAAAAAATAATCTTTTTTTACTACTTAACTAACAACACAATAATTTTTATATAAATGTTTATCACAACGTATGTGTGCGTGTGAATGTGGTGTGATGCTAACATGATTTAAACCAAGAATTAAACCAAACCTGCGAAGACTGTTCTAGATCCGCTCTATCGACGGCCGAAGGACGCTTGCTGAATATTTCTCTTCTATCTCTCTGTTTCTCTCTTTGGCTGTGTCTCTGATTTCAATCGTTCGATGTCGTCTCTTTGACCAATCGCTGAAAATAATTTACTAATAATCATATTTTGTACATGTTGGTGGCAGACGCAATGGGCATAACGCAATAACCAGACCGCGCAATCGCGAACCTCCTTAGCCAAATTTAGATGTGCCATTCATAATCGAGCCTTCTAATCGCTACATGTGTCGTCGCGCTTTTACTTAGTCCAGTTTGCTTGGTTTGGCATACTTACCATAGATGGGGTTTGCGTTCGCTATGTCTTAGAATTTTTTGGGAGAGGGAGAATGCCTCTGCGCGCCCGCCTAGCTCCCCACTCTCTTTCCGCAAAAGTGGGTGGGGGTGACGCGGGCGGCGTGGGCGTGGCGTTTTGTTATAAATTTACGTTCTGAATATCATTTGGACGCGCAGATAGCCGATTAGCGTAGACTGGTTGCGAGTGGCACGAGGGGTTCGAGCTATTGTACATTGCTTCCTATTTCAATACCTGAATGTTGCTAAGTTGCTAATGATGATGAGATGAAATCTTAATGAATATTTTATATACATACATATATATATGAATATGTATAGCCAGTGCGATCACGAACGGACGGGACATGTGACCGAAACTCGCACTCTCTAATTGATGTGTTGATGTTGTTGCTCTTATTCTCTGTCTCACTTTGAGAACGTATTTGAAAAGTTCACACGATACACGAAGATGATGTCACTGATAACACACGGAGCTCTTTTTCTTCCACTCATTATGTTCACGTTTTGTTTTTGTGTTTTGTTGGTTTTTTGTTTTTGTTTTTTGGATTCAACGCTGTGTATTTCCGCTTTGTTACCAGCTGAACGCAATGCCTCACCACCACCTCATCCGTCCGTTTCCGGTTATAACCTGTAACCAGTGGTGCCAACCTATAAGGGTTTTTGTTCCCAAATATTTAAAAAAATGTAATTTTCTAACGAAAAATGCTAATATTGCATTTTAACGCCATCTAAGATTCATTTATTTAGGTATAACTATGATAGAATTGCTATACCAGTTAAAATCCCTTGTTTAAGACCCTTTAAATTAGAATTTTTTAAATTTTAGTAATCATTCCGCTATTCTGGGCTGAGACAAACCCAAAAAGCTACAGATCATCAAAATCTGTGCAGCCGTTCTTGAGTTATACGTGTTGTAACTAACAACTTTGTTTTAAATTTAACAATTAATAATTATGACCCTCTTTCTCCTAAAATCTATTAGTTTCAGAACTAAAATTCCTAAGTTGGCATCACTGCGTATAACTAGTGATGTTAGCGGTTATAAACCGTATAACCAGTGATGCCAACCTTGAAGTTGCTTGTTACTTCATTTAGGGACTAAATTTTTAAAGTTGGTATCACTGCCTATAACTAATGTGTTCCGTTATAACCTATAACTACCAGTGATGCCAACCTAAACAATATTAGTCCCCAAATATCTTTCACAAATTTCCTAGTTCTTGAATTTGGGGATAAAAATTCCCACGGTTGGCATCATTGTCTGTAACTAGTGTTTTGGTGCTCTTGGTAGGTAGTTAGTAGTTGATTAGTAGCCCCTCCCATGCCCGGATCCGTCCCCGTTTGAGATGCCCAGTGGCAGTTCCACACGAGTACACGTAGCGTGTCCGTCCCGCGCTGAGATGATGACTGAGCAAGCAACATGAGGGCATTTGGAATGGCGGGAGGATGTAGTGTGTCGTTGTTGTCGCAGGTGATCGCCATCATATCCATCTTGTTCATAATCCTGTCGACGATCGCGCTCACGCTCAACACGATCCCGAGCATGCAGATGTTGGACGAGGCGGGCGCGCCCATGGACAACCCGCAGCTGGCGATGGTGGAGGTGGTGTGCATCACGTGGTTCTCGCTCGAGTACATCCTGCGCTTCGGCGCCTCGCCCAACAAGTGGAAGTTCTTCAAGGGCGGGCTGAACGTCATCGACCTGCTCGCCATCCTGCCGTACTTTGTCTCGCTATTTCTGCTCGAGACGAACAAGAACGCCACCGATCAGTTCCAGGACGTGCGCCGCGTGGTGCAGGTGTTCCGCATCATGCGTATCCTGCGTATCCTCAAGCTGGCGCGCCACTCCACCGGCCTGCAGTCGCTCGGCTTCACGCTGCGCAACTCGTACAAGGAGCTCGGCCTGCTGATGCTCTTCCTCGCGATGGGCGTGCTCATCTTCTCCTCGCTGGCCTATTTTGCCGAAAAGGAAGAAAAAGATACGAAGTTTATCAGTATACCGGAGACCTTCTGGTGGGCGGGCATCACGATGACCACCGTCGGCTACGGTGACATTTATCCGACGACGCCGCTCGGGAAGGTCATAGGAAGTGTATGTTGTATTTGCGGTGTCTTGGTGATTGCGTTGCCCATTCCTATCATCGTTAACAATTTTGCCGAATTCTATAAGAACCAGATGCGCCGCGAGAAGGCCCTCAAGCGGCGCGAGGCGCTCGAGCGCGCCAAGCGCGAGGGCAGCATCGTCTCCTTCCACCATATCAATCTGCGCGACGCGTTCGCCAAGAGCATGGACCTCATCGACGTCATCGTCGACACAGGTACGTCGCAGGCGGGGCGCGCGGGGCGTGTCGACCGCCGGCAACACCCACACATACACGCATGGCGCGTCCACACGCCTCGCCCCTTGCGCTTGTTCGTTCGTTCGATGTTCGTTTGTGTTCGATGTGACGTGAATGGTGTGCGCGCGCGCTATCATCGCTCTCTCCACAGGCGAGGCCACCACCACCACACCCACTACACCAACTGCGACACGCCTACGCTGACCACACTCTATCTCACACACGTATATTCATTCCACACACCCACACACACACACACCTCATTACGTTAGCTTAGCTCTTTAGTTCCGTGCCGATGCGAATGGAACCGCACAACAGGTAACACCCCACCCCCTTAGCTAGCGCCGCCCACTCTTGCTCGCTTTGCATCTTTCTTGCGTTTCTCCGCATCTTTCTCAGAGGAAGAGTTTTAAGACGATTTGTCTTCTTCCCCAGGTGAAAAGAGTGCCCTGATCGGTGGAAATGAAGACAATCGCCGAAACTCGCCATAGCAAAACCAAAAAAAAAAATCAAATCAAAGATACGCACACTTTCTATCACTTTGCTCTTTTCTGTTTGTTCTCGTGTCGTGTTTGTTTCGAGCAATCAATGGACGCTAAACTCACTCACGATCGATGTGTAAAAAAACTTTTAATAATATTGTACATGAACACCACATGTATACGAGCTGGATGACAAATGAAAACATAAATCGAAAAAAAAAAAACCAACAACAGTGCTAAATATTTAATTTGTTTCTCGCCGCTTCTTTGCGTTTCACGTCAACTTTCCACAAATACAATTTTATATATATAAATATTCTACCATCACATACTTGGCATTCCTCGAAATTACGATTTATTTCAATAAAAAGGGGCGTGGCTGGTCGTTGAGCTTGGCCACGCCTCTTCGTTTGCAAGCTTTTATCGGAATGTGTGAACTTTGGACACGTACTTCACACGTTTCTGTTTGTTTATGATTTCGAACCAAATTGCTCGGCAAAGTTCATCGCTTTGAATATATTTATATTCATTTATTTATTTAGACGATTGATTAAGAATCACGTGTACCTTCGATGGTAGCATGGTAGCAATATTTTTATTTACCAACTCGCTCTCACGTTTTGTTTTGAAATTTTTTCATCTCTCTCTCTCTTTCTTTCTCTCTTCTCTCTGTGAATCGATTGAGTGTGGTGTTAGCTGACCGAAAAACGTGTGTCCTTCTCCTCTGATTCGCCCAGGCCACAACATACCGGGGATGGACGGGATTAGCGGTAGCGAGGGCGGCGACTATCAGCCGACGGCGACCGCCCAGCAGCCACTCCTCCAGCAGCAGCACGCGGCGACGGCGGCGCCGCCCCCACTCGCGCAATCAGGTCACGCCCATCAGCCGTTCAGCGATGTAGCGTTGCGCCATAGACGTAGCAACTCTTCCCAAGCACCCTGTCTTCCAATCAATGATGGACCTCCAGTTCCAGTGTCGCCCGTCGGCTCGCAGAAGGCGCTCAATCAGCACCAGCAGCAGCAGCAGGTGCAGCAACAGCACGACGACCACGAGCAGCAGGTGCACCAGCTGCAACAGTTCCAACAGCAGCAGCAGCAACAGCAGGCGTACCAACAACAACAACGACAACAGCAACAGTTGTATCAACAGCAATTGCAACAACAGCAACAGCACCAACTTCAACAACAGCAACAACAACAACGCCTGGTGGATCTTGCTCCGCCTGAAGAGCATCAGTTGCAGTTGTGTGCAATGGCGCCGCTCGCACAGGACGAAACAGTCCTCCTGCCCCCCACTCCCAAAGGATACATATCTCCAGGGGTGAGTTTATTTTAATTAATTATATTAAACATTTTAACACAGAAAAAATTGCATCAGTGGGATGATTTGATGTTTCGTATAATTTTTATATAACATAACCTAAAATTGCACCAAAATCAACCCAAAATTGTATATATTTTGTTTTTTTTTAATTGTTGAAAAATTAAATCTACCCACGTAATTAAAAGTGGTAATTACCTAAATTCGGTCCTGATTTTTTGATTATTTTTTGAATGGCGGTTGAATGCAACTAGTGTGCTACCCGATTTTTCTGTTTCTTTCTGTTTTTGGATCTGTCTCTCTGTCTCTGATGGGCTGTGTTAGGCGGACAGCAAAAATACCGACTCGAACAAGAATAATAAGGTCGACAAAATTGACGAGTTGCCTAGCGAATTCGAATGTTGCTTTTGCACCTCGAAGGTATCTACTCGTACATTATTATCCATCAGGCATTACCATCAATCGACAGCCATTTTGAAAATTTACCAACGTTTCAAATTCATATTTCATTCTCATTTTCATTTATCATGATCATTATCAATCGAATTAATCGATTTAAACGTGCAAATAATAATAATTTATGAAATTTTTAATAATTTCTGGTTGAATTATTATTATTTGTGTGCAAATATAAATTTATCATGTACAAATTAATATTTTGTGAGCATGTTGGACGATGCGCATGATTTGACTTTTTGATTGTGTGGTTTTTGTCTTGTGTTTTTGTTGTGGTTGTTCCTAGAATTGTTGTTTGTATATTCTAGCTCTGTATGTGTATTGAGTAATGATTCTCTTGTGTGTGCGCTTGTTTTTTGTAAGCTGTACGCTATTAATTGGACAATTCGGTGACTGTGAGACGCTATCTATACCAAACGACCAAAAATTTTAACTCCACGTGTTTTTTTTCTTTCGTTTCAAACACCAGAATACATTTTTTGTCACATACAAGTTAATAAACAATTCTATAAACAAATAAACAACAAATTTATCTTGTATAGGAGACAACACATGCAGAAAGTGACTTTTTAAGCATTTTGCAAGTGTTGCCAATGAGTTTTTCGCTGATCAACTAATAATAAATATCAAAAAAATTGATTATAAGAAGTTTAGCAAATTGTGTATGTTAAATTGCATACGTTCAGCATGTAATTGAGTTAAAGTATGGTTAAATAGCACTTTGTGCAATTAAAAAGTTAATTTTATGTTGAAATAATATTTTACGACGTAAAATAGCCTCGAATTTCGAAGCTGGTCGGCGAAAAACATTAAAAATTAATTTTTAATACCAAAAACTTCAAAAACAAAACATGTCCTAGGTTTATTATGATTATGATTTTTTACTCTCGTTTGTTTTGTGTTAATCTCGGCTTTAAGTTTTAAGTGTCTAACAAATGTGCGCTAGTTATCTAACTGTCGTATCTCTATCTCTCGCTCTCTCGCGCTCCTTCTGTGTGTGGAGTGTCTCCCGGCCAGCTAACGAGCGGAGCTTTTTCGCAAACAGCTTAAACAGCGGGAGAGCGCGCGCTCATTGTGCCATTTTGTGCAAGATTCAAACTGTAATCATGAATGAACCGCCTACTCCGCCACCCTTGAAGCGCTGAGATCTGAGTCGAGTTGAGTTGTGATACATGTGCGTAACGCGGCGTCGAATTTGCAGGAATGCAAAGGACGCTGCCGAGGAGAGTGCATACCCCTGCGGCCGACCAAGCGCACGGCGGCCACGACCAATCACTAAATACCCGCGTGAATAAACTATACAAACAAACAAACAAGCCAAATATCGAGATGCCTCCTCTTCCATCACAATATTCACAAACATACACATCAATTAGCGATATATGCATCAGGTGAGTTTGAAATCTCCAAAATACTTACCCAAACTACTCCACTAACCATCAAACCCCGAGAATATCATTTTATTTCGTTTGTTTTTTTGGTCGTTTGTGGTTGATTTGTTTTGCTTCTCAGACATAACCTGCAATAACAAAAACAAACGAGCGACGCAAACAGTTAACCGGTCGTCGGTGTCATCGCGAGCGCGCTCATGAATATCTAATGGCGGGCCCCCGAAAGCAGCATGATGATGTGATAATAAAATTCGACCGACCTGCACGCCACTGCCGCACAACAAGTATACAGTTCTATAGTTGTAGAATAGCGCATTAGGGCAGTAGGCATTATTCATAATTCGAGCTCCATCCAAACACGAATAATCCGCCATTGCACGCACGCCACTATTAACCATTTATAGAACTATTTATTACAGTTTACTACATTACTTGCTCGTTTGACTTTCTTTGTGTGTTGGTTCTTTTATTAATTCAATGTGTAATTCAATTGAGATAAAGTGTACTTTGTTGACGAAACACATTTACGCAATCCCTGCATGATAATATTACTTAATACTATCTAAAACCAATGAATTTGCGCTCGAGAAATTCGTTTCTGCACGGCTGGTGTCTTCTTGTCTTGTCACGCAGGAGTATAAGGACTTCGTCGACGCTGAAGGATTGATGCCGACCGGCACCAGCGACTTCCGGCAGCCGGTGTGTTTCGAGATGCGACAGCTGCGCAGTGCTGATCTGATGAACGCAGCTGGATTCTTTGATGAAGTGGACGTGCGCAAACCGCTCCTGCCGTACAGTATACACGCTCTTAATAACAATAACAATAACGGGGCTAACAATAACCACGCGAGTAATAACAACAACAACAATAATGCTGAAATGGGCAGTATGGATAGTTCGGATACATTCGCCAGTTGCCCAACGCATCCGTTCCTCTCGCAGGGCGATTTGACATCTGACATCGCCGATGGGAGTTGTGCTATTGATAGTAATCTCTATGTAAACCCACTGGACAAGAGCGGTGAGAATAGTCCGGATGCCCCGAAGGCGGTGCGGCCTGCTGGCGGCGTTAAGAAGTCCGCTTCCGGTGATACGGCGTTGCGGAACTTGGCTGCGTCGCCATTAGACGACCATTATCGAGATTTCGCCGCGCTCGATAGAGGGAGCCGTGTGAGTCTCAACGAATCGCCATTACCACAACGACAGCGCAGGACGCGCTTCCAGCAGGTCAGAAATAATCATTATTCTTTGTTATTTATGTTCCTCATGGTAATTATTATTTATTTATTGTAATGTATGTGCAGAGTCATGGACGGCTGAAGGCGCGTTTCGGTGATTCGTTGGAGAATCGCGACTCGCAGGAGAGTCTCTCGCAGGAGCCGACGAAAAAGAAGCGCACGTCCTTTATGCCAACGCGCGGCCTGGCGTCGGCGACGCGCATTATCAATCAGCACTTGTTTGGCATCCAGAGCAGCATTGGCTCGCGTTCAGGTACATAACCTATTTTATGGCCTGCAACAAAAGAATGGCGTACATTAATAACGGCCGTAATCATATATCTTTGCTGTTGCTTTCTTACAAATGCTAATTTCGAAGAATATATTAATATCTATTTTGCCGCAAGGAAGTGAATTAGGTTATGTTAGCTTGTAGGAAGTGGGCGTGTATGGTGAGGGTTTTATATACGTTTTCTAACGTTGTAGGTAAAAATAGCAGCAGTAAATCGTCGCTGTCAGTCGACTCGATCGATTCGCGCGCCTCGCCGCAGCTGGAGAGCAATCGACGCTCCAAGTCCATCCTGAAGAAGTCCGACAGTAGCGGGTATCGCAGTGCGACAGATCCGGAAAGTGAGCGGCTTATCTCCGATGGTGCTTCGGCTGGTGGCGCTGATGGACAAGGCAGTGGTGGAGAATCCTCGCCACATAAAAGAATGTCTTCACCGCCTGCGGTGCGTGGCATGGCGACGGTGGCGCCACATCGTAGAGTAACGCGCCTGCCACCTCCGCCACCCGCCTATCAACAACAAGCTGAGAGTGGAATGCGAGCGATGACTATGACAATGAAGTCGCCGCTTTTCTTACTTGATGATATTATGCAAACGCAGGCACCAACGCAGGCGCAGACAACGCGTCGCTCTCAAGGAGCAGGATCACGGCATGGTCAAGCGGTGAAATACAGCACGGGCGATACACCGCTGTATATTTGTCCACCACCACCGCCTATGGAAGATTCCTCGCCCACTGAAGAGACTAAATTACTCACCGGGGGCGGTGGTATGTCCACGTCGACTACTGGAAGTGGTGGACGTGGGATGAAGAACAACGTCGGCGGTTCACAGAAGCGACACAACGCATCCGCTTCGTAGCAGTGGCGTTACGCGTTTGTACTTTGATTTCGATGAACAATGTGTGCGTGTGCGACAACGACAGCCAAATGCAATACCAGATGGGATGATTTTGTCTGTGATTTTGTGGAACGCATGACATGGACTATGATTTTGTGAACGATTATCTAGCATCTAAGTCATTTTGCCATTTTTGTGCTTTATTCGCATCGTTAAGGACAATTTTTGTCGCTAAATTGTAAAACTTGTACATATGAACCAACAAAAAGTCCCATTACAAATACTATACACATTCCTACTCAAATATATTAAAAATGGAGTAATACGACAAGTGAAAGGCATAAAGAAGGGAACGTAATGAAGCGATTATTTTTGAATCGAGATTATTATAGTTTTAATTCGAAAGCACTGAAAAAATTGAATGGTTACTAGTTACTACTACGAACAAAAATCTTAAATTATAAATTTTTAAACAAAACGTTAGCAATACATTGAGAAATGAGACGAGAAAGTAATCCAGTAGTGTTTGAAATCTTATAAAAGTTGTAATGGAGGAAGTAAATTCGGAAAATGTGACTTAGGAATGAAAAGTACGGCACTGATTGTAAATGATTTTGTTTTTGTCTTGGTTTGGTTGAGAAATATGAAGTGATTAATGTAGGAACATTGCACAAACGAGACGTAATGACACAATCAAATCTTCAACGAATTTTTTCAACTTTTTGCCACTCGCAAACATATGTCACGCGCGCGCCAGTAATTTATAATCTTAATTTCGTGAAAGCAGACGTCGTTGATTTCCTTTTGTTCGAACACACGAAACAGAATGATACACACACACGAAAGTCAATTCAATTCGCAAACTTTAAAGCAGAAGAAGAAGAAATTACAAAACGATAATATAAATAAATGTAAATGTAATTGTATAATGTGTAATTACAGATTTTAACTACGTATTAAGAACACAAACACAGAATATATGAAGATATATTTAGAATATATTTAAAAAAGATGAATGACGTGAGGAAAAATCGACAAATCTGCTTTTACTCTGATCGACACAGAAAATCAAATCGCAACAATCAATTTGCAATTGTTTTGCCGATTGCAATTACAATAAAACATAAAGAATAAAACTCGCACGAATCAAGCAGCGCACTGGTGTTGATGCAAATCACAATAATGTAATTATAATAATCCGGCTGAGCAAACTGATTACTTGAGTGTGTATGTTGCCATTGTTGTGTTTGCCTTCATGTGGAAAACAAACTTAATTCTGTGACTATTATTATTACATACTTTGAACATTCCGTTTTGTTGGAAAGTGCGTACGCTTGAACGTTGTTATATTAATTTTATTCTGTACACACGAATTCACACCGCAATGAATGTTAACTGCTAGCAGACGATTTGTGCAGCACCCTAAAGACGCAAACGAGAAGGAGTCAAAGTTCGCAGAATCCACTGCCGTTTTTTTCATGGAACGCCGCATAAAAGTTTTCATGAATCTCTCTAACTCTAACTCTATAACTAAAGAAAAAAACTCTCTCTCGGCATGAGTCATGATTCATGTTCACGTTCACACATTTTTGTATGTTACTAGCGATAAAAAAAAAACGAGTAGCGGTGAATATTCGACTTTCAAGAACTAAATAGGAACAAGATTCACGTTGATTTGTTAGCCATATACATATCTAACCATGGGGACGTTTTGCAGCGTATGATTCGGTCAAGGGGGGGATTAACATTCGGAATTGAATGCAATTGAACACAAAACCAACGCGTAGAGAGGCTGATCACAAACGGCATTGTTGTAAGCGCATCAATTACATGACATATACATAAATAAATGAATCGATACTATGTAAATGTTGTTACAATCGAATAAAAACTAATTTACTGTTGAAGTTACTGCGTTTTATTGCATTGTGAACATTTTTTTCTGGCGGGTAATAATATTTTCCTAAATCATGATTTTGTCATAGGCAACCCAACTTACACAACACGCGTTTATGCGGCATGTATTTGCAAAATTTGTAAAATCATTTAGAAACACAACAAACTTGATATAAAATAATAAATATTTTAAATTAAACAATACATAATAGTCACTAATAATGTAATAATATAAAATTAAGAAGTTAAACCATTTAAAACCATTCTTTAAATAAAGTAATGTAAGTTCGTTCATGTGCTTTAGCAGTGTTGCCAAACTTGACATTTCCATATTCAAACTTCAACGATCTCTAAATGACCGTTAGGACGACAGTTCAGTTCAAATTGGCATTTTTAACGGAACGTTCGCAGCGTCCGCACCAAACACAAGATAAATAATTGGTTCTTTTACACCGTATATTTCATTTTATTTGCTTGTGTTTAATTCATAGTAGTTAACTAAAATGAATAAGACAAATATTGCGAGCAGACTAAGACCTCCTATGATAAGAAGTGCAACAAGTACTGCCAAAAAACTACCAGTGCTCAAAGAGAACTCGACAAACATTACAATACCTACCGTAACGTTCAACAAACCAGGACCAGGAGCAGCTTCTTCCTCCAGCACAAGCAATGTGCTTGCATCATCTCATGCCATACGAAGAGGCCGACGTTCAAAATCGTTTGGTGTATCAACTGCCAAAGCTTCTATGCACAACAAAATAAAATCCAGTGCTTTGACTTCAACTCTAGCAAAGAAACCGCTTGCAGGACGCGTTGCTGCAACAAATGTGACATCACGTTTGAATACTGGATTAACTCGAACAGCGACTCTGGCAGCGGCGTCAAAGACTGCTGTAAAACGGCCTGCAGCAACAACAGCAGAGACAACTAAGGCTGTGCCATCAGCACCCAAACTCTCAAAGTTTGATTTCAAAGGAAGGCTTGCTGCCTTGGAGGATAAGCATAAAGTGCTTGTCACTACTCACAAAGAAGCAAAGAGTAGACTTGAAATTTTAGAAGATGGTAATATATTTTACTAGATTTAATATTTCACTGTAAAATTTTTTTTTTTGCAGAAAATGTTAGCTTTAAAACCAAATGTGAGGAGCAGGAACAACTCCTTGAAGAATTAAAGCAGTACAAAGTAAGTACTGGCGAATTGATCAACACTCTGAGGCAAACTGAGAGTAGATTAGAAGTATCACAAAAGCATGGGCTTGATTTACAAACAAAGTTAGACAAATCAATTAAAAACTTTGAGCAATTACAAAAAAATCACAATGCATTGAATTCTGACCTTGAGCAATTGAAAACTGAAAAATTATCAGTTGAAGATGCCCTTCAAGAGCTACAATCAATGCATGACTTGCTTCAAACGAGATTCAACAAGTTGCAAGCTGAACAAACTGAACTAAAAGTCGACTTTGCTTCCATACAGGATAAATATCAAGCGACCGAGCGTGAGAATGAACATCACAAGACTCAACTGCAAGAAGCACTTCAGTCAATAGAAGACCTCAAACGAAATCTGCGTGAACACGAAGAACTCAGGCGACAATTACACAACGACGTACAGGATCTCAAAGGCAACATACGCGTGTTTTGCCGTGTGCGACCAATTAAACCGGATGAAGAAGACCGCATGCCATGTAATATGGATTACATTGATGACGATACACTCGGACTGAGGAAATCCCGTGAGTCTGTGATGGGACGCGATAAAGGCGAAAGCAAGTTGGAGTTCACATTTGATCGGGTGTTTGCTGCTGAGAGCTCACAAGCGGAAGTCTTCGAAGATTTATCACAGTTGGTGCAGAGTACGCTGGATGGATACAATGTATGCGTATTTGCCTATGGGCAAACAGGATCAGGCAAAACATACACAATGTTAGGTAGTGGAGATAATTTAGGAATGATTCCACGATCAGTTGATCTGCTGTTTACCAAAATCGCTGAGTTAGAGCAACTCGGATGGGTATATGAGGTGCAAGTTAGTTTCATGGAGATTTATAATGAAACAATCAAAGATTTACTCAATCCCGATTCGAAGAAATCGCACGAAATTATGCACAATGAAGGTAAAGGTTCGGTGGTGACGAATTTATGCACTGAGACTGTGTCCACCGCCATGATGGTCAAGAAGTTGATGATAAAAGCGAATAATAATCGGGCGATCGCCGCTACGAATTTTAATCTGCACAGTTCACGATCGCACGCTGTGACGAAAATCTCCGTACGTGGGTATTTTGAACATAACGTCTTCAATGGTTCGCTCAATTTGGTTGATTTGGCTGGCTCGGAGTCGGCGAAAAACTCGGAGCGGATGACTGAGACGAAAAACATTAATAAATCACTATCCGCTTTGGGTACAGTGATGCTTGCGTTGCATAACAAGGACAAACATGTCCCTTACCGTAATTCTAAGTTGACGTATTTGTTACAATCTTCGCTCGGGGCAATTCGAAAACGCTTATGTTTGTGAATATTTCGCCGCTTGAAGAATGTTACAATGAATCGGTGAACTCATTGCGCTTTGCGTCGAAGGTAAAGGAGGTGAAGACGGGTTCGAAACGGAACCGCAATGTTAATAGGTCCTAGTTTATATTTTTATTATTTTGATTTATGAATTTTATAGAGGCTATAAGATTTGTACTGGCTCTTAATTATATTGTATCTGTAATACTTTTGTATCCACCTGGATGTATATATATCATATGTATTTTATATGCTGTTAGCTACGATGAATAAACAAACAACTTTTTGTACTTTTTTGTGATTATATCAAGTGTATATTTTAATATCAGTTGAAAAGAATCGCTTTTATGCTATTTTTTAATCAATTGTTACATGTTTCATTTAAATTTTGTTTTATCCTATAGGCAACCGCGCCAATGTTTCAATTAGATTCTAACCTCAATATACACGTGCGTGCATACTGCATGAATAGTTTAAAAGCAGTTTCCAATTGTTTCCTTAAATTTAATTTAGCAATACAATAATGTCGGAAATGCAGGAAGAATTTGAAGACATAATGGAGCAAGACGAGGATGATGAAGACGACACTGAAGATATGGAAGAAGAAGGTGAAGATGGTGAAACAAAAGCAACAAATACTGATGGTGATGTATACTTGCCTGGAAAACCACTCGAAGAAGGTGAAGAATTGGTGTGTGATCAATCTGCATATGTTATGTTGCATCAGGCACAGACTGGTGCACCCTGTTTAAGTTTTGACATCATCGCAGATAATTTAGGTAATAAAAAACACATAAACCAATTTTACAAAGAAGTAATGCAATTTTTTTAAAATTAATTTTAGGTGAAAATAGAGAAACATTTCCTATGACTGCATATGTTGTGGCTGGAACACAGGCATCCCAAGCACACTTGAACAGTGTTATTGTAATGAAATTGAGTAATCTACATAGGACAAGCAAAAATGATAATGAAGATGATGATGATGAGGATGAGAGTGATTCAGAGCAAGAGGAAGAAGATGAAGCAAAGAAGCCCAAAATGGCAGGGGCATTGATCAAGCATCAGGGATGTGTTAATAGAATTAGAGCCACTACATATAATAACACTGTTCTGGCTGCTTCATGGAGTGAACTGGGCAGGATTAGTATATGGAATTTAAATCAACAATTGGAAGTTGTCAATAATGATGCATTATTAATGAAATACAATAAAGAGAATTTAGGAAATAGTGTAACAGCTGTATTTACATTTAGTGGCCACCAAAAGGAAGGTTTTGCTATGGATTGGTCAAAAACACAATCAGGAGTAAGTCAAAAAATATTTTAAACTTCATAAATTTTAATTTAAACTTATTTTGCAGATGTTGGCAACAGGAGATTGTAAAAAAGATATACATATCTGGACCCCTGGTGAAGGCACATGGACAGTAGATCAACGACCTCTAATCGGTCATAAAGATTCCGTGGAGGATATTCAATGGTCACCAAATGAAAGATGCGTGATGGCTTCTTGTTCAGTGGATAAGACGATACGAATCTGGGATACACGAGCGCCCCCTCAGAAAGCATGCATGTTGACCGCAGATAACGCTCACGATTCAGATGTGAATGTCATTCACTGGAACAAGCATGAGCCATTCATCGTAAGCGGTGGTGACGACGGTGTGCTAAAAGTATGGGATCTGCGTCGTTTTCAACAGAAAACACCAGTTGCATTCTTTAAACATCATTCAGCGCCGGTGACAAGCGTTGAATGGCATCCTACTGATGGTGCGGTGTTTGCTTCTGCGGGTGCGGATCATCAAATCGCATTGTGGGATTTATCGGCTGAGAAGGATAATGAGACTGCCACGGAAATACCGGTTAGTGTTTTTATTTATTTTTGTATATTTTCTCTGATTTATATTTGTTTTTGTGATTCATGTTTTTGTTGTTGTTGTTGTTCAGAATTTGCCAGCACAATTATTGTTCATTCATCAAGGACAAACTGATTTAAAGGAACTTCACTGGCATCCGCAACTTCCAGGTGTGATTATCAGTACGGCGCACAGTGGTTTTAACATTTTCAGAACAATTAGCGTTTAATAATGTTTCGTCAATCATGTTTCTATTGATCTTAAAGGAATTTATAATGAAGAAACTGAAATGCTGATAAAGTTGGTAAATTTTATTAATTACCAAAAAAATAAGAACTTGAAATGTTGATTGATTTAATTTTATATTTCACAATTATGGTGGAATATAACCATTTTCAGTCTTCTCAACATAAACTACATAATAATGAAGTAATTAAACAGTAAACAAGTAATATAAGTATAAAAAAGTAATCAACGTAAATCATTCAGATAAAAAGTTAATAAAAACAATCGTAATCACTTAATTTGCCAATAATAATAATAAAATGAATTATTCCAAGAGATTCATATTAATCAAATGCCGCATCGTTGGTCTGCCATGCGGGCAATTCCACGGCTGTTCAATGTCGCCCATGTGATCAACCAGTTTTTTCATCGCGCTTTTATTCAAAGCTTTGCCGACCATCACAGATTTTCTGCACGCGCGCGATGCAAACATACCTCTTATTCTCGAAGGGCGGCAATTTAAATCTGCTCCTTCCTATATAAAACGAAAAAGAACACTTTAATAAGTTTTTATATATTAAAACAAAGTAATAATCTTACTTTTAACATATAAATCATCTCATCGACGTCATCTTTGCCAAAAATCGTACTTTTTGACACTGGAATCTTCGTCATTTTAACACGTTCAGTAGGAGCACCGTTTTCGTTGTGCTCAAAGTAAAAACCATTCTTGTTAAACACTTTTTCATTTGTAAGCAGGATATTTTCATCCACAGCTGTGAGTTGCAATGGTTTTGGGCTGCAAATATTTTGTTTAAGAATATGAAACTTAAATTTTTAGTTATTACTTACTTGACTAATATTTGACTATCAATAACGGTATTTTTCTGCAACATTTCAAAGTTATACTTTTCATCGGATGCATGTTGATCAATGATAAACAAATCTTGATTTAACGCTGCAATTATAAATCCGTAATTAAATTGTCCGATAATGTTCATTTCTTTGAACATATCTTTGGAGAATTGTTTCTGTAACTCCAGTTCAGCATCTTTGTTGCTTTGCGGTGCTATATCCGCACGGAATTTAACAATTAACTCTTTTTGTTTATCATTGGCAAGCTCGCTTTCCTCCACAGCTTTTTTGATTGAGTCAAGTGAGAAATTCAAAACATCAGAATTGTTTTCTTCTGCTTGCGCAGGTTGTTTTTTTATTGGCGAATCAAAGACAACTTTTGTCGGTTTTGCAGGTTTTTCTTCTGTTTCTTTAGGTGGTGAAGCTGACTCACTTGTAGTATTCAAAAACTCATGAACCATCACTGCTGTTTCATTAATTAATTCCATTTGTGTGTCAGTTATTTCTTTTTCAGGTGATTCTTCACGTTTTTTAACTATTTTAAACTCTGTTAAACATTTTTGAACTCTTTTAGGCGTAACAGGACATTTAATAATCTCTACTTTCGGTCCTGCAACCTTTTGCTTTTTAAATATCTCCAAGAATGATTTCACATTAACTTTCTTATCATTGTTATCGTCATCTTCATACTTTCTTTTATTATCCTCTTGTGTAATACCAACAGAAATATTTAGATTCTGGACTTTATATGTTGATGGAAAATTCTTGAAAGCTTCCAGCAGACTCATCTTAACAGTCGCCATTAAGAGCTTTTCCTGCTCCAAGAAAATCTGTCTCTTATCAGGCGTAACATTTACATCCACCAAACTACTTAATACTTTAACATTTAAATAAACAAATGGATACTGATTGTTATTAAAGCTTCTGTAGGTTTCATTGACAAGTTTAGCAAGTTTTTGTGGCTCACACGGCCGTGAATTAATATAATAAAACTGTCTATCAGCTGCAGATCGACCGCTTCCATGCATGACACTGGAAATATGAAAATCAAACACAAAGGGTGATTCGTCAGGGACTTTCTTGATGGTAAAATCATTCGCGATTGATTCATCTGGTAGTACAAGCGGCACTTGAAGCAGTTGTGATATTTGCTTTGCGCCAAATATGTTAACGATATTGTCACTGACTGAGCCGCTTCCTTGTGTCGTAAGTATTATGTTCTTATTGTTCAACACTTGATTACTGCATGTAAATTTAACATTTGTGCAGACTAAACAATACGCGTACAATAAGCTGCACATTTTATTGAACTCTTTCTTTGAGTTTTTCGTAAACTCTTTTCTTCGCACCGGCAGACTTGCGAAAAGGTTGGAAAGCTGAACAGTTGTTCCAACTGAACGGGCTGTGATGGATTGTGATATAATATGGCCATTGTGATCATAGCATATTTTTGTAGCATGTTCTAAAGATTCATGTCTGGTTATTATTGTGAGATCTGCTAAAGCACAGAGTGAGCTAAGAGCTTCGCCACGGAATCCAAGTGTCGCGACGTTTTCTAAGTCGTTAAATTCACGAATTTTTGATGTGTAGTGTTTTAATGCTACGGTAGGAACATATAAATTTTGTTTTATTTTTTGTGTTTGAATGTATTGATGAACTTACTTAAAGCAGCGAAATTTTTCTCCTGTACTCCGGAACCATTGTCAATCACTTCAATTGAATCTTGGCCGTAGTTTTTCACCCGTATTTCAATATTTGTTGCGCCGGCATCAATTGCATTCTCAACTAGTTCTTTAACAGCAATTGCAAGACTTAAAACAACCTGTTAACATATAAAAAATAGTTCAACATAAATTGCTTCCATCTAATTTGGGGATAATGTTAAAGTTAATAATATTACTTTATTAATATAGTTTTATCTTAGATATTATATTTGTTGGTTTTTATGTAATAGTAAAAAGTAAAAACGCATATGCCATATAAGCACTATTTTATTACATGTAAAAAAATAAATAAATTGAAAATCTACTCTTGTTTATAAAGTAACCAACAAAAAAACATGAAAATAGTTGTTTACCTGGCCGGAACATATTCTGTGTACTGTTTCATTATTAATTGGTTTAATTTCATCTTGTTTTGACAACATTATAAGATTGCTAAGTACTGTTTCCTACTTTAGCACCTTTTTAGCCGAAAATAAAAACGCGCGAACCAACGAATATCAGCTGATCAAGCAGGCCTTGCTCTGTTGTTTTGCGCGCTCTCTCGCTCCTCCAAAAATGAATCCTTGTTCAAAGTTAGGAATTTCTTTCAAACTAACTTAGTTGAATGAAAAAGCAATTCAGAGGTTTTATCCTTTACCTTGGAATTTTTTATTGAATAATCAAAGCAAATAGAATGAAAACTTTTTCGTTATTTGTAAAAATAAAATTCATTGTTTTAAAGAAAATCCTTAAAAAATCAAGGATCTGTTGTCAATTTTTGTTTTTCTCTTTTAGTTTTCGAGAATAATAGTAAATGAAACCCGGTGTAAATAAATAATAAAAATTTGGCGGAGGCGCCTGACATTTTTGTAAGTGATTGTATTAATTATTAAAAACAAATGCTACCATTCTGTTCAAAGGTTTTTCATTAACCAATTAACACAACTTTTTATTTAATACCTCTGATAGTTTACTCAGGAGGAGTTTTTAAGTACAAAGTGTACAAAAAGCTATACTTAATTACTGATTATCTCAGAAACTAATAAAGATAAACAAAAACTGAAAACGGTGTTGCGTTCAGCAAACAATTCTACACGAGATAAGAATTTAAAAATTGTATTTTTAAGGTAGTGGAAAACACTTTTCCGACGCGATTTTCTCGGAAAGTAATAGAGTTACAGAGTTATTTCCTTCATTTCTATCATGTCATAACTAAATTCTATAAGATGGCAGATTTAGTTTTTTAATTTTCTTAAGTTGACCAAAAGCCACTCAAAATTCATCAAGAGGTTACACTTAACTATTTTTGGGGTCAAAAATTGCTTTTTATGCTAGAGCAAAATGGAAAACGCCAATCGGTAGAGAATTCCCATGCGATGAACAATCTCTATTTAGTTTCTTGATAACATCAATATTTTGGAAAAACTTGATGGATGTCGAAACACGACAAAATGAACCACTTCTCTGATTTTCATGAAACTGTGTAACTAGGTGTAGAATGATGCAAGGAAACCATTTATTAAGGTTTGGATTTGCTGACATAATTAGTTTTTAAGTTATCGACCATTTTCATATATTGCATAAGTGTGGATAATTAAACATTTTAAAATTTTAAATAGTTTCAAATTATGCACTGAATACGAATCTGAAAACCATTTTCTTTTAACTTTATTCGTTTACAAGAAAATTGCAATAAACTGGATTATTCATTTTCTCTACCATTTCTTATGCGAAAAATAACATTTGAGAGTTGACTTTTTTATTACTGAATATTAAAGAACACGTGATTTTGAATACATTATCTTAGTAACATTTTGTTATTAAACCGATGGTTTGGATAATAATCACCCTTAATAGTTTGAAAAAGTACTTACCTCTTTGCAGTTTGATTTTCGAGTGGATTCTATTTTAGCATAGAGAATTCTTCAAGAATCTAAAGTCCTTTTCTTTCTAGTCCTTTTAGTTTCTGAGATATTCGTAAATAAAAATTTAAATTCATTTCAACCGGAATAAATTTTAAATTATAGTTCTGCTCTGTTTTTCAGTCAATATTAATTTTAACCAAAAAATTCAACGCTGCTTTTCAGCCAAAATGTGTTCTCTGACAGGCATTTAAGGAGATGGAAAGTTTTGTTTTGTAAAATTTTAAGAAGAATAATACGGCAAGTCAAACAAGTAGATAGGATTCCCGCAAGTACTTTAACTCCTTGATCAAAGCCCCAAGGACCTCATTCAGGAGACAGGAATTGCTAGGTGCAGGATTGAAAAATAAAATAGTTTGCATGTTGCGTGTTTATCCAACAGGAACAATTTATTTATTTCGTCATTATATACTAACTGTTTAGGAAATAACAACGTGTGGCGCCTTGCATTGTTCAATAATGTACTTATTACGTCGTCAATAATTTTTCATAAAGCGTCGAAACGTGAAACTCAACTTCTACGAATACGTAGAATCGTCGTGTGTAGGTAGGAAATCCATCCGGAAAGCACTCCATTCGTCGATTATCATGCTATCGGAGTAATCGTGGTAATGCAACGGAAACACTTCGCGCTGCTTGAGCGGAAGCAAACGCGATCTAACATCCTTTAACAACATTAAGTGATAGCTTAAAATTTAATCATAGATTTATGCATCATGATAGAAACTAAATCGCTAATAAGTTATTTAAATAAACTTGCGATAACAGCGATGCAACTGTTTGCATTTCGTCGAATCGTTTTTGAAACACATTAGAAAACAATAGAGATAAGAAGTTCTTCTGTGTGTCTATAAATAATTTCATCACAATTGATATTAAGTAAATATTATACGGAATCATCTGAAACAGACAAACCAGAAACAATTAGTTATACAGACATGCAGTTAACCTTAAAAAGAACTTAAATGATTCAAGAAAATATTTGTTGAGTGTGTGTCATCCTGACCATTGGACCAATTATCACAAAATATGTCATAATTGTCAATATTGACAAAGAGGCATATAAAGAATTTAAAATTCTACCAATGAATAGAAAGTTATCAACATAAAACTTCTAGCACATGAAAAAAACACACTCAACACTAATATTTATAAAGTTCTCATCATTTACTTAAAAAAAATTAAATATTAAGTGAAAATATTACCATGATACCACCACTTAGTCTTCTTTGGATTCTTATTGCAGGTTTTCACATAAAAAGCGTTATCAGGCGGTCGTTTCTGCAAAAATATTAAGTAAATACTAAATTTCTTCATTGAAATCAAATAAAAACCAATTTACCTTTTCTTTACAACTACTGAGCATAGATACAATTGACAAACAGACGGACTGCACCGATAACGCCGGTGACCAGTCGTCTGTGAGGATTGATAAGCAAATGTGGCCGTTGCTGTAGACGTGTGGATGCACGGGAATATTGGCGCCGACGAAGATGACTTCAGGCGAATCGAACGGATACTTATTGGTGAACTTGAACTGCAGCTGGAAGCACTCGCCCTCGTAGAGCGTGCCCGGCACACCCTCCATGCGGATTGTCCACTGCAGCAGGTTCTGCTCGGCGAGCTCGTAGTCAACAAGCACTCCAGGTGGCGGCTCCTTCAGCAGTGACATAAGCTCTTTCTGAAGCCGTTTCTGAGGGCGAAGAAGTAAAAGTTAGAGACTGGACAACCAGACTGCTGGCCTTGGTTCTCCCAAGCCTTACTAATTTATACTAATTTATTGAACTAATGCAAAAGCGAGATTGAATTGTGGTTAATGTGATGATTATAAACACGTTAGAGTCGCTAGACGAATTGGTAAACATGTTGTTGAATGCTGGTGAATTGGCATGTGCGTATAACTCGTCGAGAAGTTCGAGGCGAAAACAAAGGAACGCGCAAGGTTAGAGATGTTTGCGTTTGTGGTGTGTTTGGGATTTACCTCTGACGGAGACATGCCGGACATTCTGTTCACATCCGATTCAGCTGGATGCAGCTGTGGACCACTATAATTTTGTGTCAGCTGTTTGACTGGCGCACCTCCTGTCAGCCTGCTGCGATACCTGCATTAACTGCACCCGAACGCGCCCAGCGGAGAAGAACGCGAGTATCGCAGGCGGCGAGAGCGCGCGCTTCGACCAGATGCCGCGATCCGTGGTGCGCTTCTCGCGACTGTCGCGAGTTGTGGCCTGTGAAGGCGAAGTCGATCGCACAATCTTACACAGATAGCACGTCAAAGTGCGTCAACGCACTGCGACTCCTGCGGCTCCTGCGGCTGCGACACGCATTGTCCCAACGAGACGCGCGGTACGCGCCAACGTAGAATTTCGAATTTATTATCGCTGCTGTCTGATTGAAATCGTCAAGGTGGCAGTGGCGTAAAAATACTGCAAGCAAATATACAACGCAACAAATGCAACTATTGTTTTAAATGCAAATATTTGCCCAAAGTTTGTTGCGCGGTGCGCTAAATGTATGTGGAAATAACTTACTCAACTTTAGATAAGATAAGATTGCAATTTATAGCAGACATTTGTATTGATTGGGGGCCTTTTTTTCGTTAAGTGTGTAGAATGTTGTTGAAAACAGAAAAACCAATTTGTTCATATTTTGCATGAGGATGTAGAACTGGTTGCCTATTTCAAATATACAAATCGCATAATAAATATTTGATTTGCTTCGTAAAAATGTATATAAACATGCTTTACAGCAATACAATATTTTAAAAATTAAATTAAAATTATTTTCAATAAACATTAATAACGCACTGCACCTTTAAATGGTCAAAATAAATAAAATAAAACATGAACTTACCACATGTAACAAATGTGTATGCAAGTTTAACATGTACAATTGGTTGCCTATCCCAATAGCAATTGCTGCATTCCAGTCGTGACATGTCAAGCATAATGATCAAGATGAGTACATCCGCCGGACTCCTCTTACTATAGGGTTTGTCATCGCGTTTAATTGATTAATATTGAAACAATGAACGTGTAGCAATACCGAAGCATAGTGATAGTGCAATAAAATGTAATACGTTCCCAACAACTAGTCATGCGTTAACTGCACCGCAATCAACACAACAAAACACTCGAATGAAGAATCTTCATCTGACGAAAAGTTCTTTTACAAAATCTCATCATGCCTGTAATAAAAGACGCCAACATCGTGAAGATTGCGATCGAGATGACCGACATGGTCCCGCATCTCACCGAATTCAATCAAAAGCAACCGCTTACATGCATCATCCAAGAATTGTGCAACGTCTGGAATCTCTCCGAGCCCGACCAATACGCACTGCAATTCAACGATACCAACAACAAGAACTACATCACCGAGAAGAATCGCAATGAGATTAAGAACGGATCCGTCATACGCCTAGAATACTCACCATCTAAGACTGCCCAAGATATCCTGCATAAACTGAATGCTGGATCAGTGGAGGAAAAAACTGCAGCTGTACAAAAACTGTCCAAGTTAAGTGCTGATATTACTTTTGCTTTAGAATTCATCAGCAAGCAGGGTTTAACTTTGATTATCAAACACATAGAAGGTGGTAAATCAAAAGGTGCTCTTCTTGCTTACTCACTGCTATCATTTGTTGAATTAATGGAGCATGGAAGTGTATCTTGGGACATTCTTGATGGGCAGTTCATTAGTAGAATTGCTGGGTATGTGAACACTTCACAGGAGAAGGACATTGGTCAGGCAGCACTATCAATATTGGAAAATATTGTTTTGAATAGTAGTCAAGGGTATGAACAGGTTGAGAAAGAAGTTCCAGTCAGTTCTTTAATCACCCACCTTCAGGAGTCTTCGGTAGTTCAACAAAATACTGTTGCTTTGATTAATGCCTTGTTGATTAAAGCAGATTTCACCAAGAGGAGATCAATTGCTGCTACATTGGCTTCCAAACAGTTAAGACAAGTTATTCAGCAGAATATTCTTCAAACTGGAGCTGTGGAAGGAGCAGAAATGGCGCATCAGTTGTATGTGCTGCAAACTTTGATTCTTGGCTTGTTGGAGCAGAGGATGAAGACCAAAATGGATCCACAGGTTAGTGCAGATTATTTTATTAAGCATGTATATGTTTAGATCTTTTTTATTTTTACTAACAAATAAATTCTGGTAGTTGTGCTGTATGTAAAATTTAATTGTCCTTAGGATCAAGATGGTCACGATAAAATTAAAGAACTGCGACGCATAGCCTTCGATGGAGAAGGTGCTGGGAGTATTCGAGGTCCTGTTGGTTTTACACGTGATTACAAAAAACTTGGTTTTCGTAATGATATAAATCCAGCTCTGGATTTTACTGAAACCCCACCTGGATTATTAGCACTCGATTGTATGGTTTATTTTGCTCGTAATCATCCTGACAACTACACTAAACTTGTATTAGAGAACAGCTGCCGAGCAGATGAACACGAATGTCCTTTCGGACGTGCAAGCGTTGAATTAGTGCGTATTTTATGCGAGTTGTTAAAAATTGGTGAATCTCCTTCGGAACAAGGCGGAGCTTATCAAGCTTTATTCTTCACGCATGATTATCCTTTCGAGGAAACATTCTGCATTTGTATTGTTTTGTTAAATAAAACATGGAAAGAAATGCGCGCTACTTCAGAGGATTTTGGTAAAGTTGCTTCGGTTGTTCGAGAACAGATCATCAGAGCCCTGCAGACATCGCCTGTGTCTTTAGAACAACTTAAAACACGTTTGTTGTCATTGACATATAGCGAGATTACAGCCTTGTGGCAGCAGGAACGCACTTCGAGAGAAAAATGGGAATCACACGCAACTCCCATTGTTGAACTCAAAGAACAAATCACGCCGGACATTTTGAATCTCATCCACCAACAACGCATCTCGTTCCTGATCGAAGGAACACGTTTTACTAAGTATTCCGCGCGTGGACAACGTATTAAAGATAAGTATTGGTACATGCGACTGTCGCCTAATCAAAAAGTCCTCCACTATGGTGATTGCGATGAAAAAAGTGCGCCTTCAACCGAAGAACTTACATCGAAACTAGCGGTTTCGGATATTCGTGCGTTGCTTGTTGGTAAAGACTGCCCGAATATGCGGGGGAGGAAAGCAGCGCATCAGCTGGCGTTCTCGTTGGCGCTGGAAGGCGTCGATCTGCAGTCGTTGGACTGTATCGCAGCGGATGAGTTAATCTTTGCGTATTGGACGGATGGGATTAATTCATTGCTGGGGCAGCGGATGCAGAGTAAAGAGGCCGAGAAAGATCTGGACATCCTTTTGTCCATGGAGATTAAATTGAGATTGTTGGACGCGGAAGGTGTTACTATTCCGCAGGATCCGCCACCAATTCCGCCCGATCCACCGCATTATCATTTCTGTTATGATTTGAAATAAGCGGGGAAATAGGAGTTGGTAAACTAACAGTAATAATAACATAAGTAATAATCTGCATGTCAAATCACGTGGTATATTTTAAGAATCTCGTAATTGTAACTTTTTAAAACAAATTATGTTGAAGTGTTTATACACGTGAATAATAAGGGTTTTAAAGAAATCAACTCTGATTAAATATCAAAGAGATAAGAGAAAACTGCGAAAAGTAGGACTGAGCGTGTAGTGCACTGCGTGTTGCCTAGTTATACCTGCTCTCGATCCGCAAAAATCTTATAATCTTACAATATTGCGCACAAAGTGGAAAAGAGTCCCTAAATATACGAATCTCATTGTGTTCAAGAATAATAAACGATTATCTCAGCCCTCACTTCAACATTTCATGCGAAAGCCCTTATTCTTCACTCATGATCAATTATTTCGACAAATTAATACTAACCAAGACTAAACGCTCACCAAAAATGCACGTCAAACTAACTAATATGTTTCTACCTATTTGTATTGTTTATTATGTAACTGTAATGGCCAAGACCAAATTAGACTGAGCTAATGTATAAGAATATTGTAATGCAAATAAATATTGAATGTATACAATTGATACATTTATAGATTTAAAATTCAATAATATCAACAACATTATAACGATAAGGTGTAGACTGTCACTGCCTTGATAAGACTTTATAAAGAAATAACTACACTCGTGAAAGGTCAGGTGCGCACAATTGAACATTAACCTTCGCACCGGCGACGTCATAAATGTAGGTACACTTGAAACGATAACGATACTTTGTCTAAATTTGAACAAATAATAGCGCTTAGAGCAGTACGTATATAATATTACATTAAAGTATAGAAGGTACATAAACTCATGTCTTTTCTTATGCTATAGTGTTTAAGTTAAAATAAGATGACTAGAATATTAATTTACTTAATCAGTTATGTTAGTATCTTCCCATTCCGGTTGCTCCGCGTTGATTGGTTCCTTCATCGTGACTTCTTTAAATTGCAAATTCCAGTCATGATCTACCAATATTACCGTGTGCGTTCTTTCAAACAATTATATTTAAATTAGTTTATTATTTAAATTTGTTGATTTAGTATTACCTGGTACCATAGCCGGGTTGAACCATTTCTACGTAAATAGATGACAGTTCTTTGTAGGATTTCGGTGCTCTCCTTTGTAATTCTGGATCTGGTAGATGTCTAATCAAATACTAACAATATAATATTACTATTATAAACAGAAAACATTTAAATACCTTTCAGTTAACTTTAGTAACTCTATAAGTTGATATGTGAGTTGTCCACTAAGCTTTTTACTATTTAATTTGTTCACAATGCTTTCGAATTGCGTTCTACCAGCTAAAACTTTTTGTAATGGCGTCGTTACGGTGCTATTACCGAAAGCAAGCACTTGTTTTCCTGTTCCATCAAATGACGAATCGATTTCATTCTCCGCGTTAGTCGTATGACGAATTGTGATTTCTTTACTGAAATTCACACATTAAACTAATTTAAAACATCCTGTATGCATGCAATACCCCAAATCGATGCTAACAAAATTATAACTGTGATAATCTACATCATCCTTGTGCAAATACTGCTGATAATCCTCGATGGGCATTGTTCCCTCCAGGTAATCAATGACAATAAATCCGCGTCCTTTGTGCGATTCTTTCGATTCCCCCGTAACGTTCAACAGCGCACCGAATCGATATTTATAGGCATCTGTGGGATAAGTTGACATGCCAAGCCAGCTACCGCCTTCTCGCCCAACTTCCATATCTCTTCCTAAAATGTTATCCGTTGTAACTCTTGCAATTTCCTCGAAAATACAAGTTTAATTTACCAGCAATCACGCCTGTCGTCTCGCATTTAAACGCTTTCTTCGCCGGTCGGACATAATACTCATCGCGGTTCGACGCAACGATGAGTCGGTAACCATCTTGGGCAGGATCGGGATCGGTGTAAACAAATAGGATGCACATCGCACAACCAAGAGCAAACGCGTTCGTTCAGGATCGAAAATCGAGTGCACTTTATTTCCTACACGAGTCTGAACCAAACTTAAAATTTAAGGTCACGTTATATATGCTAGATAAACAGAAACTTGTTTGTTACACAGTTATACACTCTCCACACACACTTGAAATAAATCAAATAAAATAACCATCACGTCATTCAGTGTTTTGTGCAACGTAAGATTACCCCACGACACTCCCGCGCCTTTGGACTCAACGCGAATAAGTGACTCGACGATTTCGAGAGCGTTGTGATACGGAATATTCAAATGCAAAATGCGTGTGGAGAAAGCGTCGGGAGTGTCGTCGTGATTTGCGATGCTTTTTGCGCACGAGCTTCGCACGCATGCTTTACCATATCATAATTACTTTATCTAATCGCTAGTCGACGCGCTACAGTGGCAACTTAACGTAAATCTAGGTTTTTTTTGTCGCTTAGTAAGCCTCTCCCTCCTCGTATTCGTCATCCTCGGCGGCGAAACGTCGCGTGCTGCTTCCGTTCGCTGTGTCGGGTCGTACTTACGCTCATCCTCGTCTTCATATTTAACATTCGACTCGTATTGTTGTTGATATTGTTGATAGTCTGGATAATCTGTTAACAAAATTATTAAAATTATTATTAAACTAAATTTGGTTTATGTTGATTAGGAAATGTGTAATTTTGATGTGTAAAGTAATGTAAAAGGCGTTTACTACCGTCCAGGCAAAACTTTAAGTCTGGCGGCCCTGTTGCCATTTCTATTAATCAATCTAGCAACGAGCTTCATGTTTGAAACAAATGAAATCGCAACAAAATGCGAGTTTTAGTATAAAACTCTTGAAACTTCGTTGCATGAAGATAAAAACGTTGTTGAAAAAATTGTCTTACCGTCGACGGGTTCCTCCTTGACGCGGATTTCACCACCCTCGTCTGTCTTAATATATTCTAACCGCTCGCCGCGTTCACCACGCTCACGCTCGCGCCGCTCCCGGCGTTCGCGTTTACGCTCCCTGTCACGGTCCCGATCGCGAGACTTTGACCTTCTGCGTTTACGTTCCCTATCACGATCACTGCAAATAATAAAAATATACATTCATCAAATTACATAGTTTAGCATAGATTGGGACCAACTTACCGATCTCTATCCTATCCCTTGACCGTCTATCAACATCCTCGACATCCGGTTCAGCAGCGCGTCGCTCGCGGCTTCGGCGGCGTTTCTCACGCCGTGGCGATCTGGACCGTGAACGTTTCCTGCGTTCGCGGGATCGTGACCGGCGCCGATCGAAATTACCACCGCCGCCACCACCTGCGCCCGCACCGCCTCCTCCTCCGCCACCGCCGGCATTACCATAACCTCCCCCACGTTCGCGATCGCGTTCACGGCCACCACCACCACCACCGCCGCCGCCGCCGCCTCCACCGCGTTCCTCGCGCTCCCGTTCCAGGCGATAACGCTCACGCTCGCGTTCGTTATCTTCGCGGCCAGAATGTTTAATGTTCACGTCGGGACCACCACGTCTCGTACCACCCAAACCACCACCTGGAATTTTATGGTTTAATTAATTTAAATTTTAAAATTTTGATTGTTGATTCTTACCTAACCGCCTTGGAAGCCATCCCTTGACTGTGCGAGCCCGCTCAACATCAACGAGTACTCGCCGCCCGTCAATTTTCTTACCATCCGCATGTTTGTACGCAGCTGCAATGGAAACACACACTATTTAAGCACACCAGTCCACGGCACGCGCAATTACATCAAAAGATAATGTCCTGTTTCTACCATGTTCGACTCGTTCGACTTACACATCCCGTTTGTACTCTCTTTTATTGTTTCTTACTTTGTTTGTTATTTGTTCATTCAAAACGAGACAGAATTGAAAATGTCCACTTTCGCTGCTTTGACATACATAGGCTGTCTTTTTTTTGTCCGGGTGACCAGTCGGAGATATTACCAGATAAGATAAAGATAACTAGGTATTATTCAAGTATACCTACCCAGTTACTTACGTAAGTGAACGGAAAATTTACTTATTGTCGCGATATCCAAGAATCCTCACGTTTTAAGTTCTAGTTTACCTGGTGCGCAATTACTTACAACGCGCAGACACCTCATATAAATTAACAACTAGGTTACTAGACGGTGTTTTTAGTTTAGAATTAATTTCGCTTCGATTGTTGGTTCAAAAAGCAACAAAACATTATTGATTCAAAGAAGAAGGCTAAGAGTGAATATAACTATCACACGCCGCGAATCGACTAAATGCGTATTTGAAAACAAAACCCCAACAGACAAAAGTAAAATATGCATCATATAAAAGAACGTATTTGTATGTAGGGTTTCTCTTACCACACATACAAACCTATATAGCCAGCAAAAAGCGGAAGTATGAGGACAAACGGCACTAGTTGCCTGCAGCTCGGACTGTATAAAAAATAGAAAACTACGTATTAATTCTTCTCATGTGCAGCATTGCGAACGTCGTTATGTATGTATATATTTAGGCATGTTGATTGGTTTACGCTCGCGGAGATTGCTGGCTACGTGGCTCGCTCGCTGCTCCACACACCGTCGCGCAAAAGTACCTTAAATAGCGGCGCCCGACGCCGGCAGTTTAAGATGCTTTTCTACTGAGTATGTCGGAACGGTGTGCAGATTGGGTACTCACAGTGCATGTCGCGCTCGTGTTCATATTCAATGAACGCGTATCCTCGCGGTTTGCCATTGACGGTGTTGTGGATGAGGAGGATCTTTTTGATTGGTCCATAGCCTTCAAACTCTCTCCTCAGTTTTGATTCAGATGTATCATAATTCTAAGTTTAAAACAAAATTAGTAAAGAAAATATGACTAAAATTTGTATAATTACAATTCTTGCAACAAATAAGGTTTTGAATGGATCTGAAGTGACATTTGTAGCCCCAGTAGGATCCCAAACTGCTATCTCCTGTTCCAACTTGTAAGCAACTTGCTCGGCACGTTCTCTTCTGCGTCGCTCGACGCGTTCTTCTCTTGTTTCAACTCTTGTAGGTGGTGGAGTATCTTTTGGATCCTATAATTATAAAAAAAAATTGGTAAATTATAGAAAAAAATTTATTTAAAATTTTGTGCTTACTTCAAATTGGTCTAAAAAATCACCGACGCCACCATATCCACGATTTTTCTTCTCGTGGGGTAACTTGCTCGCAGGTGGTAGAAATGGAATAGGGTCGCGTGGGGCAAATAACGCCAACAAATTATGCGGCAAGAATTGCGTCATTTTGAACGAACGCTTGCGTTTACGCGTCTATTAGTCAATCAAACATCACATACACAAGATGCACTAGATTTAATATGTGTTGTGGGTGGAAAACAGCCCCTTATCGACGCATTTCGGTCAAGGGGAAAATGTGGACTGTTGTTAAAAATGGCGATTGTTTGTCTGCGGCGTCGGCGACCTTGGCGGCCATTGCAAGATTATTGTGATAAAATGAGTGACATGGTTGTTCAGTGCTGCCAACTGCAGTTAGCCGAACTGAGGAAATATATATTAAGAAAACGCATATAATATTAATTTGATATAAACTAATTATATCAGTATTATTAAATAATTTAATATATTAAATTGATTTTCAATATAACATTACATTATTTTAATATTTACTTTGGAAAACCAACCGCAAAATTAATTTGTATCGAAGGTTGCCTATCCGCTGGCAAAAGTCGGTTGTGTTTATTTTCCAATCGCTGTCAGTTGTTGTCAAAAGAGTTCCTAACCTATGACAAGCAATCCAACCAAATGCGATGCGGAAAAGATGCGAATGATGCGGCTGTAACTCGCTTTTTAAAAACCAACTATGGCTGATGGCGACGATAACCAACCGAAGCGAACTGTCGGAACGCCAGCCAGCGACGACTCATCCTCTGACATCGAAACGATCGACTTGGACTTGGTCAGCTCGCAGAATGACAGACCTTCGAAGCGCGCTCAACCCGACTTGAATCCCCAACAACCAGGTAAACACTCAATTGTTTTTATTCTAACTTGTCCTAATTATAAACAATTCACAGCCATGCATGATCAAAACGTCCGCAAGGAAGACAACCCCTTCTCGTTTCGTCACTTCATCAATACAGCAGACAGAAGCTATCACAATCAAGGTGCTAGGCCAAAAGTATTCTGTGAGGGTAGACCAGTGAGTATACCGCCGCCGTCGGATGTCGAAATATCCGACCAGCACATGTCTTCACGTTTGGTAAATGAGTATCCATCAGCGCTGCCGGATTTCGTCCAGGATCATCTAGTCATTGAACAGTGTTACTTAAACAATCATGACAACCTGCCTGACTGCACCATGGATAGAAGTGAAAGAGACAGAAATGAGAGGGTGTCCTACAGGCCACAGGCAGAGTTCCCTTTGGATTTGCCATTAAGTGGTGAAGCACAGAATAGACCTACAGTAAGAAATAGCCCTCAGGTGATTGCACCTGAGGTGGGGAATTCAAAAAGTCTGCCGGATTTCTTGGCAGACACTGCTCCTGGTGGAGGAAATGTTGCAGTGGTTGATAATGAGGGTAGTAGTGCAGAATGGGAAGCAGATAGGTTAAGAGTGGAATTGGATGGAACCAGAAGGCAGTTAGCTGAGAAAACCAGGTTGGCTGATTGTTTAGCACAGGAATTAGATTTGGCACGGAGTAAGAATCACGAATACACGCAGAATTTAGCAAAGGCGTGGGAACAAGTTGAAGAGAATCTTGAACGCAGTAAAGTAAGTGAAATTTTTAAACTTTTGTGTATGAATAATAAAAATTCGTGTATTTTAGATAAGAGCAACTTCGTCCGAAAATAACATTATGAAATTACGCCAGGAAGTTAAACTATTAAACGTAAGTTTTCCACTTTATGTAGTTTTACTTAGTCTTTACTACGTTTGGTAATTTTTTAGAAAGAAGTGAGTAGATTAAAACGCGAAAACATGGCGCTGAAAAGCGAAGAGGGCGCTGCAGGCGGTCCCTGTGCTTCAACAAGTCGAATTGACCCAATGGCGCAACGTCATGTGGCTCAAGACTTACGATCGGCTGCATCTACTGCTGAACACTCTCTCAGGTACTTATAACGTAAAAACTTGTCTAATTCATAATGTTAAATGTAAAATATTGTATTTCTTGGTTAGTTTGTTTTTCCAATATAGGCAACCAACATAACAATTGTTTTACATTACAGACAGTTGTTGAGCGGCGTTGAAAATCTTCGTTTATTAGCATCACGCGTCGAAAACCTCTCGCGTTACGAAGCAGAACAAACTTCGTACATATCGGACGATGATGCTGACGACGACGATGACGACGCCGACGCCGGCCCAGCGCTATAAACACTCACCCCGCCAGAAAAAGAAGAAAAACGATAAAAACTGTTATACGTGTAAATAATATTTTTCGATTAGGTATTGCTAGAGAATTACGATAGTTTTTTATATGGATTGTAAGCCAACAATATTTTGCGTACACACTCAGAGCCTACAGCGGTGTGCGGCATTTAAGCTAATCATAATCACAAGTGCAACTCGCGTAATAACTTTTTACTAACTTTTTTAACAACGTATTTATTGACTTTGTTCTCACTTCTCATACAGAATTACAGTACATACATATTAGTAAGTGGTGCATAAGTGATGTTTCATTACGTACAGTATTTACAATATTCAAATATTCATGTAACACTAAAGAAAAGGAAGAAAAATGCTGTCAGCATCACACTATGACTAAACACAAATATTACATACAATGAATTCAATGTGATATGATTTAATATTTAATGATTAACGGAAAACTATTAAAAATTCAATTGTAAATGTAATCGCAACAGAAATGCACTCCTACAATCAAGAGTTGATTTCCTGCAGTAATTCCTCATAGATTGAATCAGTTTGTGTTTCATTATTGGTAAAAACGCCTCCGTTAACACGCATACTTGTTTGGCTACCAACAGAACGTAAAATATCATTAAGAACGGTTTGTGTATGCGTATTATTGAAGCGTAAATCAGGCGGTAAGATATCGTCACATGTTTGTGTGTAGTTATTTGAATGCACATCATTTGTGAGCAGATCTAAGTTTGTAAACCAGTCCGTTTGCGTTTCCATGTCTGCATTGCAGTCATTAATGTACGATTGAAGCAGATCTTCGGTTCCTATACCTTGATCAACGTGCGTTGGAATTTGAATGGGTGTAATATTACGGTGATTAGAAATTGTTATTGATTGAGATAGGATATTCGGACTCAATGTTTGTGTGCCTAATGAATTCCTCTGCACATCATCATTGATATCGAGTAAATTTACATCAAATGATGTATTGCATGCGCGTGTACTTGATGTAACTGTAGTTGTTTGTGTTTTGATGCTTTTCTTGGACATTGTAATATTCTCAACCACTGTTGATGCATGTATAGATACAAGTTCCGTTTGTGTACCAGCTGATGATGTTATCGCTTGTATTTTATGCGTTTGTGTTTGCATTTCTGTTTTATTTCGACGTTTTCTTTTGATTCTTGTATCTTCAATTGTTTTATTCTCTTCAGCATTGATTGTAAGAAAATCTTTGGGTAATATCAATCTTTTGCAGGTTTTGCATCAACCACACACATTATTCTTGTGCAAGCATTTGTATCACCATTGAATAATGCTTTGTACTTTAATTTAGCAAAGATTTTATGTCCTTTTCTTCTTGCATGTGTTGTCAGTGTGTCATAGCATGCATATTCAGCTGGACATTCAGGACATTTGAAATTTATCCCACAGTATTCAACATGTAAGTTTTTAGATGTTCTGTAGCAAAGCCTGAGTGACATTTTGTGCATTTGTGGTTTTTCACTGAGTGGACTTTGATATAGTGTTGTTTTAGGTATTTCATTGATTTGAAACACTTTTCAGAGTGATAAATGCATACATTTGATGGACAATGATAGCTTCTTTGTGTGTTACCTTTTGTAAGAATTTTTTCTGAGTTTTGACTCTTGTGGTGCCTGGCTAGATGCAAATTTAAATTTGACCTAGACTTGAAAATTGCTGTGCAATTTACTTCTGTACATCTGATTGATGTTTCAATTGTTGATAGTTCTTCAACAGATGGATAAATCTTCTCCATTTTTATTAGAATATCAACCTACAAGCAATAATATAGAGACTATTTGTTATTAATAATTAATTAATTTCTTATTACCTGCTGATAATTTCGATGGAGTTGACTTGGCTGCATAACCCCATAACTAGTTTGTTAGGTTAGCTAATGTGTACGCGATCGTGTTTTGTTTCCTGCGCCAACTCGCGACCCTCAATTATGGATTCTAAGCGGCGGTGATTAATAAATGAGGATTATTGAACGTTATCGACGTGAATTGTGCGTGAGTGGGTGGATATATCAATAATTATAGACGATTCACATGCGCCGGTGTGTTTAAAACCTCAACGTCACCGGTAAACTAAAACTGCTGATCATTCTTACGTCCGTGATTGTAATTTATAAATCTCCACTGAAGCTGAACAGCAGGCAGCATGTGAACATGAGCTTTAAATTCAGTGCTTAACTTGTTTGTCAATTGTTTTAATCCACGTTACGGCCGTAAATTATTCGTTTGTTTAAGTGCGCGTTTATAAACGATAAAAGTAGTCGATTACATTTTCGTCTCAATATTCTCAGAATTTATTCGGTGTTATCAGCGGAAATAAAATTAGACGCGCGTTTAACGGTACATGTGTTATAAAAGTGAAAATTCATTAAAATTCCAATCGCACTAACGTCATTGCAGCAAACGTGCGCGGTGTTTTTTTTTCTTGGCGAAACAAGTCAGAAAACATGTGAATATCGAAGTATAATCAACAACTTGATTGGCATTTGTTTTTTCTGTAAACATCCAATCAGTGTCCAATAAACTACATTGCTAGTAATATAAATGATGTAGTGGGATATTTGGTGTGTTGTGCGATAGATTCTTCTGTGGGGTCCGGTAGTGGCAGTCAATGGAATAGTAGTCCACGTTCGAGAAGTCCGCTTCGTCCGGTTTCGTGCCAGTGCGAAATAGTGCGTGTTGCCGAGTACACGTTACAACTCTACAAGTTTTCTCGGCTCGCTCGTGTATGATTACAGTGGGTGATATCGTGCACGGAACATGTGGATACGACCTGATTACACTACGCATTGGTGAGTGTGTGACTTACGCTTATTAAAATCGATTTAAATTAAAAATGTAGGTGGATAAAAGAGTAAAAACATAGAAACATGTTTAACATACGCCGGGTTATTGCTATATTGGTACTTAAATTGGTACTAAATCAATGAGAATGTAGATTGCGAACACGTGGCTATGATAATTACTTTAAGATAGTTTTGTTGACACTAGTTTATTGGGAGTAGTTACAAGTTCAAAGTTAATTCTTGATTGATTTGGAAGAGTAATTGATAAGAGTATTATCAAGTTGGGATATGACTCAAAATAAACAAAGTAAAACGTGGTATTGTTGAATGCAGTAAAAATGTTCTCTGTTCAGTGCCAATGCAATAGAGAATTGTTTATTTTTTTTAGTTTGGGCATTCAAAACGTGCTCTTGAAGCAGTATTTCATCAATTAACCTAATTATTTTGCCATACTCATCAATTACGCCATAAAATAAACGCTGTCTTTTTTATTACTAGTCAGCAATGGTTGTAACACAGAGGAAAACTGTTGCAAGATAACATAAACTGGGTTAGTTGGTGTGCATTTACTAATTAATTAATTAATTGACGTGTAATTGCATTTAATTAGATAATATTCTTTACAGAATTAAGTAGAAAAGGGACAAAAGGACATGGATTATTGAATAGATCAATTTTTTAATAAAATTAAAATATTTTCTTTATAAAACAAAAATTTAGTACAATTTGGTTAGTTTTGTTATTTGGTTAGTGTTACTTACAGCCGTTATAACTCAAGAACAGCTGGACAGATTTTGATGATCTATGATTTCTTGGATTCATCTCGATCCTGAATAGCACAATAACTATTAAACTATATTAGGGTGGTCCTTAAAATGCATTTTTTTGAATTTCTTTGCTCCCAGGGCCTTAAACGCTTTCAAATCGATAAAAAAATTCCTGAAAATTTGAGCTCTTAATATTAACTTTAAGATAGTCCGCACTCTCAGATAAGGTTTTTATGGAGATTACTTGGCAGAAAATGGATTTTAAGTAACAAACCGTGACATATTTATTGTAAATTTAATTCTCCATGTAAAAAATACCTCATACATATTTACTGCACCTATTGACTTGATACTATTTAGAATATATAGCAAATAATAGCAAATAGGAGTTTATTGTTCAATTTTTATCAGAATATAAGCAATATTATGGTGATACTCGAAAATCTGCAATAGTGGATAATATGAAAAAAGATTAAGGCTTAGTATTCGAATAGTCAATAGGTGCAGTAAATATGTATGAGGTATTTTTTACATGGAGAATTAAATTTACAATAAATATGTCGCGATTTGTTACTTAAAATCCATTTTCTGCCAAGTAATCTCCATAAAAACCTTATCTGAGAGTGCGGACTATCTTAAAGTTAATATTAAGAGCTCAAATTTTCAGGAAATTATTTTTTATCGATTTGAAAGCGTTTAAGCCCCTGGGAGCAAAGAAATTAAAAAAAAAATGCATTTTAAGGACCACCCTAAGACGTATTTACCGGAGTAATTCTGTTTGCGTATAACCAACTTGAAAACATTCCGGCTACATTTTGAAGGTGCCAAAATTACACATGTTCAGTCAGGTGAATAACCATTGCGTGTTTAAAATATTTAAATAAATAATTCAGCCAGATTTCATCCCTGATTGTATAATAAACGCAAGTGTATAATATAATTGAATAAAATTCAATTAAAAGTTCTTATTGTTAACATAATCCTTTCATATTTTCGTATTGACAAAAATTTTGTGTTTATGTGGTTGCATTTGTTAATGAACTTTGTTATCAACAACATATTTACAAATTAGATGCAGAGTATGTACGTTAATTAATAACACAATTGTTATTGTTTTATAGTTCAGTTAAAACTCGCGTTTGTAATGAGTCAGTATACTCATTATTTAATTATTAATTTTAACACACTGATGATCGTAGGTTTACAAACATTATAGCATCATTTCTTCATTAAATTCTGAATAGAATAATCATCATAAAACAGACATCAATGAAATGAGTACAAAGTTATGACTCAAACAAAATAATCATTGAAAAGTATGTTTATTATTATTATCTTGTTTATTTAAAATAATTTCTAATACTTTTTACTTTTTGAATGCGTTATTTATTTGAGCATACAATACACTTGGAATTTTGACATTCCGTTTTCAAGTAATTAATTAATTAATTAATACTCGTTGTTATTAAAGTTATTAAACGAAACCGTGCTACATGTCTGTTGGCGCCCCGTTATAATTCAATTATAGCATATAACAAATATGTTTATTATAGCACATTTGCAGTTTTGCTAGCTGCGCTTTTTAGCGCAACAAGTCGACCTTATTCCCTCGTTTATTCTCTGCACAACATTCACATTATTCACAACATGTTTGTGCAAAGAGAAAAAGCGTTACCTACTAGTTCACCTATTGTGTATAGTGTCACCTGTTTATTAATCGATAAACAGGTAATTCTCATGTCTGACACGCTAACGCATTTAACTTTTATTCGACAGATGTGTAAATTATGTGAGGCGGAACTATTACTCATTCAGATATTCCCCCTTAGTATATTCACTGTTTGCTGTATAATGGGTTGCCTATATTAAAATCATAAAGAAGATAAATTATTTACACAAAATATTTAGATTTTAAAATACATATTTACCAATTTAACGCTGAAATGTAAATATATCAAAATTTATCACCGTCACAGCACGCCGTATGTTAAATTTAGGAAATAATACATAAAACATGCTTTTTCGCTCAGCTCTTCTCTGCATTCGCTTGTTTAGCGATAAATTCTCTGGTTTAATGGCACAATGCTGTCGGTGCAAGTAAATTAACTCATTAATTCATTAAAACTCGAGGACATTACGAAAACTTTTCGTCCGCGAGCTTCGTTTGAAAGTTTTGACACATTATTTTTGACAGCAATGGCGCTCGCATACAATACGCGGACACCGTAAAACTCAAGAAACAAACGAGTTTGTATTGTGTGTGCCGTACACACACACACAATGTGTCTTCGCGATGAGTCGGTGTGCGTGTCGGCGCATCTCGGCATGCCAGCCGACAACCGTGAGAATTTCCCGGCGGCGCGCTGTCCTGCACAGTCCTGCAGTCGCCAGCGATCGTTCGCGTGCGGAGCTTCTCGCACGAACATGTCGCGCAGCCATAGCGCACACAACACCACCGAATAAATCGAAATTCGGCGGACGTTCACTCGCATTGCATACTGTCGATTGTGTATGCAGGTAGAAATCAAAATAACTGGTTATTACCGTCGATTGAAAGCAGTTAGTTGTGTTTCCACAGTGAAGTCGGCATAGAATTATCGACCGGTTGGAAAATCTATGCGATGAAAAATTAATTATAACTCGGGCAGTAACAG